ACTAAACATTTTTCTACTCTCACATATCAAATGCAAAATGAGAAACAGAGCTCAGACAACCACTGAGCTTTAAAATGGCTCTTGTAAATTTGCTTCTGTGTTTCGTAAAATCTTCTTTAACTTTTTAGCATAAGTGTAGGAGGGTGTAAGCAGTGCATGAAACTTCTTTTACAGCGCTAATTCCATGCTTCACTGTTTGCTCCTTGTACAGAAGTACAAGCCATAGTCACAAAAATGGAGAGAGGAACTAGGACCAAGCACTCCAATATGCAATTTCTGGAAATATATATCTGCCCTACATCTATTGTGTCCTCTCTCTTTAGGAAAAAAGTTGTGTTTTCAATGTCTTAGAGCTCTGTTAAAGGATCAACTGAAATTTTCCTTTGTTGGTTCAATTTTTTGTCACTTGTAGGCTATTGGTGATGATCATCCTAGATTTAAGTCTGTAATGAGATGGCGAGTCAGTCCGTGGCTTCTGCCTTACAGTAGGAATGGTATTGACACAGTGTGACTGAGACTGCTGCTGCCCCGAACAATCAGGTGTGCAGAAATTGTACTGGGACATCCCCACGGAGATACCTGAAGGCATGGTGTAATCTGACAACAAAGGACTTCGAAATGACTCTGTCACTGTTGGGCTCTGAAAACTCTGTACTTCTAAACGGTACCTCAGCCTGTAGTGAATTGCTGTGGGTTTGGCCCATGAACTTAAATGAATCTCACTTAGAACTACCAAAGCACTGAAACGCTATTGAAAAGTTCTGGCACACAGAGCTGAGTTTTGGAAATCGATGCAGTGATGTCAGTTGGACTTCTGCCACTGTTTTTGCTGTGGCCAACATTTAACTTCAGCTGTGTTACAGAGCAGAGCATGTTTTGCAAAGTTGGTTCAGAAACTGCTTTCCTGCTATCCCTCATGCTATTCCAGGCTCAAACTAGTTCTAAACTTAGAATTCAGTCACACAAACACATGAAGGTTGATCTTGTGATAAAGGCTCTGATTAAAAGATCTCAGTTTAATTCCCAATTTGGACACAAATCTGTATAAATTTGGAAGGTCACTTACCCTCATTTTACAATTAAGAAACTGAGGCTGAGAGAGAGTAAGTTGAACTCTATTATTCAGTGAGCTTTTCAGAGCATAATTGTGAAACTAAATTTATGTGAAACGTAAGAAGACGGACATTTCAGAGTTGGTTTTTTGGTTTTTTTTTAGACCATTATCATAAGAAAACAGTAATAGTAGAAACATGTCTGGTCATCTGGATAATGAGGTCTCTTTTCTGTATTTACAGTAATAATGAAAACTTTTCAAATTACTTAACCAGATTAATGTCATGTAGTGTCATGGCTTAACTACAACTGACAGTGGAGCACCATGCAGCCTCTCACTCCCACCAGTGGGATGGGAGAGAGAAGTGGAAGAGTAAAAGTAAGAAAACTCATGGCTTGAGATAAAGACAGTTTAATGGGCAAAGCAACAGCTGCACATGCAAACAGAGCAAAACGAGGAATTCTTTAACTCCTTCCCAGGGGCAGGCAGGTGTTCAGCCATTCCCAGGAAAGAAGGGGATGTAGCAGTTACTGGGTAAGACAAATGCTATTGCTTGGAATACTCCTCCCCTCCTCCTTCTTCTACCAGCTTTATATACTAAGCATAATGCCATGTGATGTGGAATATCCCTTTGGTCAGCTGTCCTCTCCCAACTTCTTGTGTGCCCGTGGCCTCCTTGCTGCCAGGGCAGTATTAGAAGCAGAAAAGGCCTTGATGCTGTGCAAGGGCCACTCAGCAATAGCAAATTTTATATGTTATCAACACAGTTTTCAGCACAAATCCGAAACATGATCCGTACTAACTATTATGAAGAAAATTAACTCTATCCCAGACAAGACCAGTACTTATAGATATATTGCATTTGTGTGACAAGATTTTGGTAAGGGGTCTACTACAGGGGTGGCTTCTGTGAGAAGCTGCCAGAAGCTTCCCCCATGTCTGGTAGAGCCAATGCCTGCTGGCTCCAAGATGGGCCCACCACCAGTCAAGGCCAGGCCCACCAGTGACATTGTTAGCACCTCTGGGATAACACAGTTAAAGGGAAAAAGCTGCTACACAAGCAGAGAGAGGAGTGAGAATGAATATATGAGAGAAACAGCCCTGCAGACACCAGGGTCAGTGAAGCAGGAGCAGAAGGAGGTGCTCTGGGCAGAGATTCCCCTGCAGCCCGTGGTGCAGACCCTGGTGAGGCAGCTGTGCCCCTGCAGCCCAGAGAGGGCCATGAGGATTTAGAGATCCACCTGCAGCCCATGAAGGAGCCCATGCCAGAGTAGGGGAAGAATGTAAGTTCTCCTATGGGGGAAGGAGCAATACAGATGATGTGGTGAATGGACCACAATCCCCATTCTCCACTCTGTCCCACTGATGGGGAGGAGGTGGAGAATTTAGGAGTGAAGTTGAACTAGGAAGAAGGGAGGGGGGGAAGATGTTTTTTTAAGATTTGGGTCTATTTCTCATTACCCTACTCTGATTTGATTGGTAATAAAAAAAATTTTTTTTCCTCAAGTTGAGTGTTTTGCCCATGATGGTAACAGATGATTGATCTCTCCCTGTCCTTATCTCAACCCATGAGCCTTTCGTTATATTTTCTCTATCCTGTCCAGCTGAGGAGAGGAGAGATAGAGCAGCTTTAGTGGGCACTGACATCTAACCAGGGTTAGCCCACCATAACATATTGCTAGCCCATAATAAAAAGTACAGTATTATAGAATAAGATCCAAAACTTTATTGTGATGATGTATTATGGGAAATGAGATTAATGCGAATAAACTGTATCAAGAATGAAATGTCAGCAGCCTCTATTAAAAATAGACAAATTCTACCAAATGAAAGAGTGTGCTTTCTTCCAGGGAGCTTTGAAAGAATGGCAGTGTAAAGATGATACATTTACTGTGTGTCAAATTAAATTAACAAAACTCTCTTTTTCAGGTCACATGAATCAAAAGGATGAAACAGAAAAATGGATTAAAGCTGACACACAAAATGGCAAAGTATATCTTAAAAGCCAAAGTTGGATCCAGTCTGTCAAGCTGAAGAGTTCTTAATGGTGAAATAGGCCAAAGAGATTAAATCAAGAAATTGTAAAGGAACATTTGTGTAAAATTATGGAACTTTGTTGATGTATATTCTTAATATAAGAGAGAAAGGATATTAAAAATGAGGGTGTTTTAATCCAAGATTTGCCTGTGACAGTACTGGTGCTAAACAGGTCTGATGTACTTTTAGTGCCTTTTAGGAATAAGATGGTCTTACATGTTCAGAATTTATATACCTTGACCCACTGACCACGTCAGTTTAAAAGCTGGTAGATTTCAAACAAAAGTTTGGAATTGTCATTTAAAAATAAAAAGCATTTTCGACACTTCTTATCTCCAGATACGAGAATTTACTTCCAAGTTGACGTGCTTTGCAAGCTCTGTTACACTTTTAAATTAAATGTCTCAATACTGTGGAAATTCTATTGGTTTATGCAAAATGCAGAGAATTTTCTTTAACCAAATTGTCTCTATTGTGAATAGGATAAAATCACTTTCAGAACTGTAGTTCTTTTGTGGTCTTCTCGTTTGGTGTTTGGACCGTAAGTAGTTTCTGCCTTGTCAGTGGATACTCTGTGTAAAACTATTGCTGTGAAATGGCAAAACTTGCTCCATGTCTTCTTGAACTGCTTGTTTCTGGATAGGAATAAGAGCTCTAGCTATGTCTGCTGCTGATCATCTGCAAAGAAAAGCTTTTAAAGTAAATAGAAGTGTAATGGGTCTGTCTGATTTCAAGGAGGAACACTCCACCAACTGGACTTCAGGTGAGAGTCCACATGAACATTCCCCTGAAGTAAAAGCTGCCATAGAATGGAAGTATTGGCTTGGTAACTGAGAACTGTAATCTGTTTCCAGTGACTTCCATCCCCATCCTGCAAGGCTGCCAGTCAGCTCTTTGAGGCAGGAAGGGAGAGGAGGGAGGTGAGAGAAGGAGGTAGGCCCTGCACAAGGGCAGGCATGATTTTTGTGAAGGATTTTGTGTTACTGTAACAGAAACACACAGTAAAGTAAACGGAGCTTTTAAAAGCCTTTCCGTACATCTGTATGACACCTTATAAAAGAAGTACTGAAATTTGTGTTTTAAAGCTGAAATGTAAGAATCTCTGCCAGACGAGTGGATGGAGAGTAGCAGAGGAGAGTTCAGACTGTCAGCTCTGGTTTTAGGTTGTGTGCGTGTGTGTGTGCTTTAGATCATAATGGTACATTATGAGATGAACTTCTTTGCCACGTGATTCTCCAGAAGGTAAAATTGTCCTTGGCTAATGGACTTCAGTAGTCAAGAGCAGCATTTTTACTGTAATTTAGGGTGGTTATAAACTCCACATTCTTTTTGCTGTTGTGTGTACTGTTGAGATGAAGTGGGCACTGATGTTTATGATAAGTTATATGTATTTTTAATATAAACACTAATATATAAAACACTTCTAATAGTATTACTAAATGCATTACAATATTACTAGTTATTATTATACTTTTAAAAGGTACAATATTAATAAATCTCTAATGGGTTTGGATATTCCAAAAAATTTTTGAAACTAATGATTTCTATGCTGGAGCCAAAGTGAAAGAAGCACCTCAAAATTCACACCACATGGAAACATAAAAACAGTCTAATAGATATTTCAGAAGACCAAGTCCATTTAATGTTCCCATTATTCACACAGAGTACAAAGCCTGTCACCCTCTGAGATTAAGGTTGTGCTTTTTGGGACTGCTGCATCAGCAGTATAAGAAAGAACATAGTAAGAAAACATGTTATTTGTTCCACTTTCAAAAGAAAGCAAGCTAAGGCATTCATATTCCAAAACTAGCAGGACTTAAACATCAGGATTGTTAGTTACTTGCTTAAAGAAGTTTAAATAAGCCAGCAGAAAAATTGTGCTGCCACTAAAGCTAATTATTATATTCTTTCAAAGGTAGTAAATGTTGAGACAAGCTAGAACCTTAATATAAAGGTCAAGAATGAGCTGAAGAAGGACAAATCCTTGGGAGTTTCCCAAAAAACATTAAGTAATGTCTTGTTCTGCTGTAATGAGGTGAAACTATATTTTTCTGTAGACAAGTGAAGATTAGTAGGTTATCAGTAATTAGAATTTGAATGGCAAATCCCATGTGTGCTTTATTTTTTTTTGGTTCATCCATTTGATGAGAAGACGTGTTCTTGTAACAGGAGAAAATTTATTCTTTAACATTTTTCTTATCTGTGCTCTTTTTAATTTGATTCTCCTGATCTGTCAGCTGCCAGCCAGCTCACAGTTCAGATCTGCAGCTTACTTAGAGACAAGCTCAGCCCAAGGGGGTTTTATGAGAATTAGGGCTCTGGGTGCACAGGTGGCTGTTGAGAAGTGGAGAACTGTGCTTAAATATACATGTATCTTTGCATATTAAAGAATCAGCAGTCACTACCTACTCACTGTTCTCAGTTACTCAAGAATGCTGTACTTGATGAGTACCAGCCATGTCAAGTGTGAAGTTCTGTGGGGAGTCAGAGTGTTAATGGCCTGGAGAGGACTTTCATGGCACACAAGAACCCCAAACACATGCGGGCTTATTTATTGCTTACCCTGCATGGGACTACAAAAACTTTCATTATCGAAAGATGAAGACAGCTTGAATCAACATCTGAGGGTCAGAAGTGCTGTCTGAGTGCAGCTGTCTTGCTTGGAGGCATTTGCACTCCCGTGAGAAAGATTTGCAATGCTTCCTTACTAATGCAACAAATGGCCTTTTATTAAAGTGTGATTAGTTTTAAGAAAAAATAATACAGTGTTCTTTTCATGCTCTAGAGAAAAACCCTTGAACTGTAGAAGATTTTGTGCAATTTCTTCATTTTTCATTTGAAGAATTTGTTTATTCAGGCTCTGATCTGTGTTTTTTGGTGAAGGTAGTTATATTACCATCCCAGTCATATCCAAATCAGCATCATTATATTCATGTTTCTCTCAAGACAGCTTGTCTGCAACAAGGGTTTTAAAATAATAATGACAAACATTTTCAGAGGCTGTTTCTACAGAGAACCCTAAAAGCAGTTTAATGAGAAAAATTCCTTTTTTTTAGCTGAAACTATGATTATTATAAGAGCTATGTGGAAACTTAAACAGAAGATAATTTTTTAGGCCATAGAGTCACAGAAGAAATTAGGTTGGAAGAGGTCTCTGGAGATCATTTAATCCTGGTCTTGATTTAAATGGATCCAACTAGACAAGGTGGGTTATGGCTTTGCCAGATGAGTTCTGAGTATCTGTAGGGTTGAAGGTTACACAGCCTCTGAGATCCTATTGAAGGGTTTGACCAGCCTCCTGATTAAAAAATTAGTTTTGTTGTAATCAGAATTTTACGTATGCCACTTGTCCTATCAGTGCACCTTTGAGAATGGTCTGGCTGTGTCTTGTCTTCTGTATCCTCTGATCAGAATCAGAGACAGCAAATAAGGTCTCCTCCATCTTGAGCCTTCTCTTGTGACTTAGCAAAGCAATTTTCTGAAGACTCTTCAAAAGTCATGTGTTCCAGCCCTTTAATGGTCCTGGTGGGCTTCATACACACTTGCTCTAGTGTGCCAGTGTCTGCCTAAACACAGATCTGAGCAGGCAAGGCCATTGGAATGACAGCATTGTGTTTGGACGAAAACAACACCAAACAAGATAAAGAAACCACCTACATCAGAAGGTATCACAGCATCTCCAGAGTGATTTTTCGTAGCTCTATAGAAAGGCTAAAGTAAGTGTGCAGGTCCTTCTCTCTGTTTTTCTATTTGAACAGTGTCTTTAACACCTCCAAGTATTTTTACCCTTTCCTCCTTCACCCTCTGCTTTCTTTTTGGCCACCCTCTCCATTGTAGTTATCTTCTGTCACCCACCTCTTGTAAAGTGTATTGTTTCAGAAATGGAATTGAGTACACAGAGGGTAGTGCTATAGAGCCTTACAGTTACCTGCACTGGTCCTAGACCCATCCCAAGGCTGTGTTTTGCAGCCTCTCTGATAGCTGAACCAGAAAAGAGTTATCTGCGATGTCCAAAACTACCCATGACCCTTCAGATCTCCCTCAACAGTTTGTGGCCACTGCCTCTTAACAGCATTAGAACACAAAAGCAACAAACTACATCAAAATAGGAGAAAATCAGGCCTCCTATGTGAGACACCCTAAAAAGGATTTGAAGGGCAACTCTCCCCCTCCTTTCCCAGCAGTATCAGTCTAGCAACTTTCATTACCTTCCCAAACTGAAGAAACTCAACCCGCCACTTTCAGTCTTTTGAACATCTCTCTGTTTCCATCCCTTCTGTGACCTGGCAGTCAGCCCACTCCTGGCTCCACACCCACCTCCCCCACTGCTGCTCCTGTGCTCCAGAAACCTCCCCTGGGCTGAGTGTGCTCTTGTGCTCCTTGAGGAAGAGCCAACTCTTTACATTTCCTCTTCAGGAGATTCAACCAGATCTGGTGTGTCACAGCCACAGCAAGGCAGTCTTCCTCCCTGCTGGCCAATTCCTAAGCTCTGTAATGATATAGTATACAGCTTCTAGACTATACTAGAAAAAATTCCAAATTAAAGTGCTATGTTATTTGCCAGTAGTGCTACTACAGTGTTTTTTCTTTCTTTTTTTTTTTCCTGAAGTGGAAATGCTGAGATGGTTACAAAAGAGGCAGACATGCCCAGCTGTAGTACTGGCACCACCACAGCAGGAAATAGGAAGTGGGCAGGAGTGGAAAAGGGACAAAATTAGTGAAGCAAGGAGAGCTCCTTTTCAGCCGCTGCAGGATACTTTTTTTTAAAATCTCCAACACTGACACACTGTATAAACCACATGAACATAAGGCTGCATCTGTTTTTATATTAGGGAGGCCTGTGCCATGGAGGAATGTGTGCACAACTTATATGAGCTATAAGCTCTGAACTATAAAACAAAAATCAACTCATCTAAGTCCAAATTCCTGTTTTTCATGGAAACTGCAATGTATGGTGGCTGTCTGAAGCATGTATAAGGGGAGCTTTTACTATTTTTTTGGAAATTTATGATGTCTGATGCCTGGACCTGCAGTTGAATGGTTTGCCAGAAACAGCCATTCATTAATCATCAACACATGGCAAAAAAGATTGTTTATTTAAGATATACTGTACTGTGATAGAACCTGCTTATTTATTTATATAGTGCCTTAAATGAACACATTGATGACTAAAAGCATTTCAGGAAATAGTTGCAATTATCTTTGGCAAAACAACTATCTCCTGGTATAAGTGAGACAAAAGTACTGGCCCAAACACGCAGCTTGAGCAGCACTGGAATACGTAATTGCATCCTTTTCCAAAGTTTCAATCATTTTTACTGAGAAGGGGTAGGAAATACAGTTCTGCATCATGGTCTGAATCCTGTCCTTTCCAAAATTCAGCAATGTTTGACTGGGTCCATCATAATAAAAAGCAGAGGTTTTGAAAAAGACTTTTTTGAGATGAGGTTACAGAAACCAATCAAGAGTAAAAAGTAACGGAAAATAAAAACTTAAAAATGGGAGAACTGTTTATAGTGCAAGTACAGGAGAAATCAAGCCAAAGAGGCAAATGGAGGCAGGCAGCTAATGGGAAAAGCAGGAAGCATCCTGCATGCATGCTCCAGGTTACCAAAGGTGCTAAGACTACATTGAATCCAAAGTATTCTGAGGCCTATGTCAGCTGCAGTAGTTTTATCATTTTATGGGATCCAGTTCATGTGCACATGATGGCCGAAACATGGCACTCCAGGAGCCTCTGTGCCACTTCCAAGGAGCAATTTAGAGTCTGTGAGAAGACAGTACTTTATTTTTGTTGCTTTTTAAAAGAAAACTTGGGAGTAATTATTGTTAGTCATGTGTAGGTTGTCTTCATTTCCAGTTACATATGTGTTGGACTTCCAGATCCTTCCTGCCTTGAGACCTGCATATTTGGATAATACCTAAGAAATTCTGCTTTTTCAGGAAAAAAGAGTTCTTGCAACCTTCTTTCCAGCCATCAGCAACCATCAGAAAACACAAAAACAACAAAACCAAACAAAAATCAGAATGTTCTTCAAATGTCAAATGTATTGTAGCTATTAAGACCCAATGTAATTTTTCTTCAAAAGGCAAAAATTTTAATAGCATTTGTTGATGAGTCACTTGTTAACAGTGTAGTCATAATTTTAGGAGAAATGTAACTAGTTTTATATCAGTGCATACAAGAAAGAAGGAAACATTTAATTTTGCTCTTAAAGAAGATCTTTCAATGGAACAAAAAAACCTGTTACAGATGAGATGCAGTTTGGGGAGAGCAGAAGAGTGGCTGGCTTCTGTTGTCAATGACATCTTTCTCATTTTGCATCTAGAAATGGTAACACAGAATGTTTTACAGTGAAGTGTTTCTCTGAAGATGCTGCTGTGTTATTTCCTGTAGGATTAGTCCGAAGCAAATCACAACTGACACAACTTTTTCCTACAGAGGCTATGCTTTAAAAAGTGGTTAGTTAGCTTTCTTTTTCTCCTGTAGAAGAAATAAACTGTACCAGTACTATATTCTCCCACAGATAGATTATCCATGATTCTTTCTGGCATTTAGAACCAACATTAATTGACAGGTCATTAGCCTCTGGACACAGAGACCTTTTTTTTCTCCTAACATTTATTAAACCTGGAACCAGGGCAGTATGTCGGCAAATATGACCTCGAATGCTGCCTGATACTGGAAAGAATGGACAATTTATACACTAGTAACTGTTTCCTATGAAGCTACATTGGACTGAAACTTGAAGAACTTTGTGGCTCCACATGTTTTCTATTTTAATCCATCAAAACAGTAAAAATCAAAATAACTTTGAAAAATAATGTGACACGATACAAGAGATGTACTCAATATTTGAAAGGTTTAGTCTATTAAGAGATGTCTGCTAGGACTGGTTAGTGTTTAACAATAAATAATGGGGAAATCCTTTGGCACAGTGAAGTATACAGGATCCATAGAGATTTTAGGGCAACTTTAAACTAAAAACATATTTCTTCTATTGCTTATTTAGAACCTAAGCCACTAGCATGTTTAGTTCTCCAGCCGAATCTGATTTTTACATAGATGACCTCTTCCATCTCTTTAAACAGGGAATGAAATGTCTCTGTAGTGTAGGTTTCACACATGCAGAACATCTGAAACCAGCCTTTACATCCTGTGAAAATCTAAGAATCTGAATGAGGTTTTAGAGTTAGTTTGAAAACAGAGAATGAGGCCCCATTGTTTATTTTCCTGACAACCTGTTGCTTATTATTCCTTACAAAAAACATACAGGTTGTGACTGAAACACGTAGTTTTATCGAAATATGTTGTGACAGTGACAATACTGTCATTGCTTTTGATGTCATTGAAGAGACACTGCAAGATAACTAATTATAGAATCATGCTGTGCTTTTGATGTAGTTATTGGCAAAAGATAAATTTTTTATCATTTTTTGCCATATTGGCCTTAAACTGTAATGAAAAAAAGATTTTGCTAAAGTGGGAAACATGCAGGATGTGGAATATATGTGAATCTAGCTGTGAACTCCCTTTTATCTTCTGAATATCATTGGCCTGTGACCTGGCAGGGTCTAGGGAGGGTCTTTGGACCTGTTGGAAAGAACAAGCAAAAAATATCCAGTGCTGAATTAATCTGCATGATTGATCCATCTGATAGTTTTTGTCCCAGACTCAGGAGTTTCCTATCATAGAACATATGGTGCAAAGGATTAGAGGCTGAGGCTGGCAAAGAAAAGGACCATCCACTGTCCAGAAAACCAGGCTCAAAAAAGTAAAATTGGCAAAGTTTGCCTGGTTCTAAAAATCACAAAAAGGGCAAAGATAACACTGGGTGGAGATGTGTGTCTCATGGTTGCTTTTTTGTTTTGCAAAGATCTATAACTCTCCAGGGTTTTCTTTACAGTAAAAATAACTGGTTGAGAAATTCCTTGGCTGAGTCAGAAGAGTTTAATCAAGAGGCTTGGAGAACCCATAGCATATGGGACTCTGAGGCAGAGGCATAATCCTCGGTCATCCAGGCTGCAACAATGCACATAAGTCATGTCAGGTCTTTGATCGGGGCTCACCCAACACAAGTTGGAATTCACACAGATTTCTGTTCCTATTACACCTCGCCTCGACGGGAAGATGGATAAGCAACCAAGGCCTTAGAGGGCTGAAGCAGTGCAGTGTTGCTGCTCTAAAGAGTGATGTGAAGTCACAGAATAAACAAGTCAACAACAGTAATCTGATGATAAAAGAAAATCTCTTGAGGCTTAGTATGAGAAAAACTGTAAATCATAAAGCTATGAAGAGATTAAATGAATCTGAATTAATTTAGGTTGGCTTTTTCAATCACTACTCTCGCATACCAATCTTTCAAAGCACTTTCTGTATCTAACAAGCATTTAATTAGAAGTAGAGGTTTTAAGAAGGAAGTTCTGAGATGACATTGCGAAAACTAAGTCGGAGAGAAGTGAATATAAGAGCAATGACAGCAGAATTCTTTGTGGTTAGACATGGAAATAACAGAGGGGTGTTTGGAAAGTGTGAAGCTCACTGGAAATATCTTTGAACTTATTAAGCATTTACATTGGTCTTGTGGTCTCTAAAGTGACTGGTAAACCCTGGAATGGTTTAGCAGGGAATGCACTACCAACCATGGTCCTGTTAGAGTGGGGTTTGAGCTCTCCTAGTATAGACTCTCCATATAAGATGGTATTATATATTTCTTAGTCTCATAAATTTTTATTAAGTTGTATACTCAGATATATCAACCATGTCTAAACTTTAATTCCTGTCCAGTTTCAGGCCCTGTGGCATGTCTGGCCACTGTGCCTGGGCCGTGATGCTCTTAACCCCCATGGAAGGGTGGCATTCATTGAAGCCACAACTTTTGAGACTCACAGCTGAAAAATCAACTGCAAACTCAGCTCTCCCAATTTTCAAGAAGGGTAAGAAGGGAGACCCCAGCAATTACAGGCCCTCCAGTCTCACTTCAGTGCCTGGTAAAATTATCCAGAACGTTATTCTGGGAGTTACTGAATAACATTTGAGAGACAATGCAGTCATTGGGCATAGCCAGCATGGGTTCACGAGGGGAAGGTCCTGCTTAACCAACTTAATTTCCTTTTATGACAAAGTCATCCATCTGGTTGACCAAGGGAAGCCAGTAGATGTGGTGGGTTTGGATTTGGCAGCCAGTCACCAGTGGGGTTCCCCAGTGCTCAATTTCAGGGCCAGTACTTTTCTAATGTTTTGATAAATTATCTGGAGGCAGGAATCAAATGTAAAGTTTTCCAGTGATACTAAATGAGAGTCCTTTAAAGGTAGAGAGGCCTTACAGAGAGATCTGCATAGACTGGAGAGCTGAGCAATCACCAACTGTGTGAAACCGAACAAGAGCAAGTGCTGGGTTCTCCACCTGGGATGGGGGAATCCTGGTTACGCATACAAACTGGGAGATGAAAGGCTGGAGAGCAGCCCTTCAGAGAGGGATCTGGGAGTTTGGGTTGATGGCAAGTTGAATATGAGCCAGCAGTGCCCTGGCAGCCAGGAGGGCCAACCGTGTCCGAGGGGGCATCAGGTGCAGCATCGCCAGCCGGGTGAGGGAGGGGATTGTCCAGCTCTGCTCGGCACTGGGGCAGCCTCACCTTGAGTATTGTGGACACATAAAGAGAATAGAGAGCTATTAGAGAGCATCCAGAGGAAGGTGACCAAGATGGTGAAATGTCTTGAGGACAAGACTTACAAGGAACAGTTGAGGTCACTTGGAGAAGGGAAGGCTGAGGGGCGACCCCATGGCAATTCATCTACAACTTCTTCAAGGGTGGGTAGTGGAGGGGGAGGAGGGGGAGGTGCTGATCCCCTCCTCTGCTGACCAGTGATAAAGCACAAGCTGTGTCAGGGGAAATTCAGACTGGACTTCAGGAAAAGGTTCTTCCCTAAGAGGTCAGTCACTGCAACAGGCTCCCTGAGACAGTGGTCACAGCACCACACCTTGACTCATTCTCTGTAACTATCCTGTGTTTTGAGCACAGGCCTACACCTACTTCTGCCATATACTGACGTTCAGTCACTGGGAAACAGGCTCCCACAACTCTTGTTTGAGTTTGTATTTCAGTGAGCTGAAGTACATAATGCGATGGCTGAGAGCGTTAGGCCGCATCTGGTTTTCTCCTTCATATTCCCATGTGCCCTTGAGGTGATATCCTGTGTCTGCAGAAACTTCCCTAAATGGACATTGTCTGCCATAAAGATAGATGGGGGTCTGTATTTCTCTTCACTTCTGGCTGACACTAGAATATGTAGATAACCCCACCAGACCAAGGGAATCCTAAGGCACCAGTGTGGACACCCCCTGGTTAAAGAAGCAAGTTTTGGGGTTCACAGCCACCTCTGAATTAAGATTAGGAAAATCCCCATCCTCTTGGTAATATTTCTACAGTACAACCTTCCCAAAGACATTTCAGTGTTTTGTCAGTAAGATGAATGCAACTGGAGACATCCAAGAAGTAAAGACAAAGACAGGCTGCAGCCAAGTACTGGTTATGTGTATCAGTTATCTGTAAATGAAGCAACAAGACATGCAGAAGTTAGAAGATTATTGAACAGCTGAAAGAAAAAACACTGAGCACAGCATTAGTGTCTGATTTGTGGGAAAACTATATTTTAAAATGGAAATAAAGTTTCTGGCACAGCAAAATTCTTGAGTCTCTCCAAGAGGCTCCACAGAAACTGTCACTTTCTAATATTAGATATTAGTTAACTGTGATTCTAGTCTGGTCTAAAGTATTGTGGGATTTTTTCACCTACTGAGGATGGTTTAACTTTCCCAACCATATATGTCCATGTAGGATATGGAAGCCCTTAGCATTACCTGATATTGCATTGCTCTCACTGAATTATTAGGATGCATTTGTATCAGGGTTTTTATCTCAGTTCTCTGTTACAAATTGGTGTCTCACACCAAGACCTTTTGAATGTCTAGTGGGGTTTTTTAGCTCTGAAGCACAGCTGCTTAGTTTCACCTCACAACTCTATTTTTCAGGAACTTGCCATTGATGCTGGAAGTTGCACATAGAGTCTTCAAGGTACATAAACAGCCATGCAAGCTAGTAATTGCTCCACTGACATCAATGGGAACAGTCAAGAATACATTATGCAATACTTTAATTACCTTGTTCATTCAGGACCAGAAATCAAGAGGGAACATAGTAAAAACCTTTTAAAGATATTTGATTAAAATCACTGGAGCAGGATGATGGAAAGAGATGAGGGTTTCACTTGTATTAAAGAGCCAATCTCATGAGAATCTAAAAGGGACAAGGAGGCAAGATGAAACTGGGACCTTGGAACAAACGAACACTACCTCATGACAGTCCTCCTGGTATATAGAGGAATGTATATGTGCTTTGCTTATTCCAGATTTATTTATATGCTCAATATTAAGATCTGTAATAGATTAATAAATAGATTAAAATATCATTAAGTAGTTTAATATTCCTATTGAAATAAAAAGAAGTCGTTGGCTCTGTAGTCAGTAATTGGTATCAGATGCATTTAGAGAAATCTACATTCGTCATACACTCAATCTATTCCCTTTAGAGGACAGAATTACAGAATTCATTGTTCATTGAACTGTGTCTTCAGAACTTTGCTATTTAAATAGCCAATTCATTTAACCAGAGATTTATTTTCAGTTCTTGCTGTATATTTTCATGTGTAGGATATGTTTCCCACAGCAACTTCATTTTTTCCCTATGAAATAAGAATTATCCTTGAATCAGGTTCATTCCCTGAATAAGACTCAGAACAACACTGCTGAATATTTTATAGAATCAGCATTTGCAAAATGACTTGTACCTGCCCAAGGTGTACAGAAGCATGACAGGAAGGCTCAGTGTACATTCACTGAAGTCACTGGAATTCACTGAAATACAATTTGTCCCAAAAGATATGATTAAAGTGATAAGGTCTTCTAATTTTAGCGTAACCTGCATAACACATCCAAAATATTCTTAGTGTACATGTATTTCTATATTAATTTTTTCCCATGTTCTCTTTCTATGATTTTTTTAAAAATTCATTTTCTTGAATATAATATATTCTGATGTTGCAGGACACATTAACATATACCCTTTGGAACAGGTTCATTCTGATTTTAATCTCATGACCCTTTTTAAACAGTCTCTGAGTGGAAAATATTTCCCTACTTAGCAGCTGGATACCCTCAATTTACACTACAGATTGCCAAAGGATTTGTAAGACCCATTAGCTTTAACATCCACAAGTGTACCCATCTCATTTTATGGAGCTGCAAGCTGGATTCAAGTCAAAAAAGGACTTGTAAACCTATGTGTAGGTTTATTTGGAAGAATCTTGATGTTCTTTTCTGAAAATAGGGTATTAGCACTTAACAGATTGGCTTTATAACTGTTTAAAGAAAAGATACCATCTAGGAACAAAGTGTTGGAAGGGGATTACAGGGTCCCTGAGTTGACTCATTGTTCCCATTTGCAGGAACTACAAAATATGACCCAGTTCACTCCCTTACCAGGAGCCATACTGACATGCCTTAAGAGTTTGCCCCTGCCTCCTTTCCTGGGATGCTGTTTCACAATTCACTGCTGTGATAATCAGAAAATCTGCCAATTGCCAGCCTAAATGTGTTTACTGACTTTTTATGGTGTATAGTTTTTTGGATTTCCTTTCTTGGTATATAACATATAGCGGGAAGCACAGCAGAGAAGACTGATTGCAACATTACCTGACTTCAACTACTCTGGGAAGGTCTCCATGCACAACTTCCATTACCACTGTAATTGTGGAAAACCAGCTCAATATCTATCTAAAAGCAAAGGATACAGGAGATGGAGCCCCATGTATATAGTAATTAATGGTGTACAATAGGTATCTCAAAGAATAAACCGAGGGCTATTGTAAGATACAGTGGCCTGTCAGATCTGAAACACAGCCAGTGGGTTTTGGCCTAGAGGCTGAGAAACTTATGCACATTTGGGAGGCACACAGCTTGATTAAAGAATATCTATAATTTAGGACTGGCTAATTAGCCAGCCAAGTAGTCTCAAACTAGTTGCCCAGGAGGCTGTGTTCAACCACTGCAGGGAATGAGAGGATGTGAGGGCTGTGTGGAGCACTGAAAGGACAGCCAAGGGTTGTGGAGATGGGTGTTGGAGAGAAGAAAGGCAGAGACAAGCGATGGCTGCAGACTTATTGGGGAAGGAAACAGGACATGGGCACTTCAGTGGGAAAAAAAAGGGAGAAACTGGTCCAGTCAGTGGTGAGATTTTAAAGGATAGTTCAAGCTGAACATTTCCAAAAGTAGTAATAAACTTGTCTATTCCCACTTGATGGTGATGGAAGTGACATGACAACTTCTTGCACGAAATTAAAAAACTTAAATCTGCATTTTTAAAATTGCATTTGCATGCTTATTGTCAGAATGCAGCAAATATTTTGTTTTGCTGTTAAAGAAAATAATTAAACCCACTGAAACAATTAATGACACAAAAGCCAGAGCTTTTAAGTCAAAGTACAGGGAAGACATATACACCTTCATAATAGCAATAATTTCAAAAGGGAACACACATTCTGATACAGGAAAAGGATAACTGAGATGCAAGACTTGAATCAAAAAGAAATTATACAGAAAATACAGGAGGCAAAAATGCTGAAGTTGTAAGCTCACAGTAAAGAGGAACTAAGTTTCACTATAGATGAATCTCAATCTAAATAATTAATTGATGTAAATAATCGTAATTTTTTTCAGATATCTAGACATCCTGAATGAAAATGAGCAGCTTTCCTGAAGAGATGCTAGTTAATTGAATATGGCTGGAACTACACATGGTTTTATTGGCAATAAATACCTACTAAAGCGTGCACTTCATTAGACTCCCCAGCACACTCATGACAGTGGGAACCACTAGAAAAACTGTCACAGTAACTTGGATATTAAGGGAATATTCATATAGCCCTGGTATAACTATTATTCTAAGTCTCCTTTTAGTAGTCAACAAAGATGGGGTTTCTCAAAGAACTGAGGAAAGGTTCCCTGACTGATGCTTTGTAGAAACACTTCTCTCCACTGGCTATAAAAAAACAGGCTCCCTTCCATAGGTAGAAGTTATCCAAATAACTCATAAATTTTATTTTCCAAAGGATTTAGTTTCTTAGGCTTAGAATCTTCAAAATCATTAAGCATAAAGTTACATCTCTGAGTGCATCAGGTTTTAGGCACCTCTGCTATTTCAAATAGCCACTTGCCCTGCCATGTACAGCCACAGGTATTAAGTTCTATTACCCAAGTTTATGCTTTACTTGGGCTCAGAAAGAGCACAGGAAAAAATAAAGCATGAAAATACCAAGAGTTATTAAAGCAAAAACACTACCCTTTGGAAGCACCCAAAACCCTGAGAGAATATTTGCAGGGAGTATCACTAGAAGCCCTTCTTCCTTCACCCTTCCCTAGACATCAACCCCCAGAGAGACCAACTTTTTATCTGATAAGGAATGGACACCTTTATATTTTAACTGCAACCATTAGTAGTATGCCAAACCCTCTCAAGAGCTAAGTCTCAAAACTTAAAACTCAGGGAAAAGCAGCTGAACGATGCCAGCAGGTCAAATTTCTGAATGAAATAGTGAGTAATTCTTTGCAATAGCAATCCCAGAACTATCTCCCTATTTCTTAAACATACCTTTGGGCAACCCGCTATGTTGCCAGATGTTAGTCTGTGGCAGTGAAATGCCATTGCTTTCACAGCTTCATCTGTCAGCTGAGGGCAGTAAGAGACATGGCAGGGTTACAGGTATTTTGTGACCTCAATTACAACACATGTACATCAGCCCTTGGATCCACTTCGGGCACTTCAGTTCTCCAGGCACCCTTTACTAGTAGTGAAGTCATTCAGCTGCTGGCTGTGAATGTCACTAGTAAAAGAAGAGGTGCATTAAAGGGCTATTTTCCATTGCTAATATATTATACTTTGAGATTTTTTTTTTTAAATGAAAAAAAAAAGTATAAATTACATTATTTTCTTGGAAAGAAATGGGTAAGAACTTCAGAACTGTCACTCACAAGTTCTGGGTTCTAATATGCTCTGTGGGGTTCAGGACAGTTAACTGTGATACTGGTTGACTACAATTTCTATCCTCCTTTTTAGAGTGAATAAACCTCTGCAGATCCTACTGACTCCAATTTCAGCACCTTTATAACTCAGATAGCTTTTTCATATGCCCTGTAAAACAGATAGTTTTGGAAAAGAACAAACTCTCCTGAAAGGTCACAGAGATTCTTAAAATACACTTTTCTCCTTTGCACTCTAAAACTTTTTTACCTTTTGGCCTGAATCTTTATGAAGCCTGAAAATAATCACTTCTAGGCCTACAAAGGGAAGAAGGTAGACCTTCTCTTGAAACCTTTTCTGGAAATGTTCTCTTGAAGAGAGATATCTAAAATCATATTTCTTCACCCAACAGCCCCATGTTTTGAGCATCACAGAACATTTCGCAGCTCTACCAAAGCTTTGGCTTCGGTGAGAGTCTCTCCTCTTCTGTGATGTTCAGCTTAAAACCGTGGTGAGATATTTGTTACTGAGTTATCTTCCAGGCCTGCTAATCTTGGCCTAAGGCTAGTGTAATTTGTCATCTACTGGAATGCAATTCTACCTCTATAGGGGAAAGAAGGAAATACTTACATAGCAAATTGAATAAAAACCATTGGTTGCATGAAGCTTTTCAAAGCTTTCAAGACTTAGTCCTGAGGTAAACAGATTAAGGATCACATGGATAAATAACACATGCACACATGGAGAGGCACAAAAATGCACCTATTTATCATGGACAAATATTACATATTTATCATTTTGAAAAAAACTCTGCAATAATCAGACTATTGCCACTAACACACAGCTATTTTTGTCTTACATAAAACAGGAACTGGCACATTAACATACCGTTGATTACTGGAAAATTTTACCTTTGTTATGACAAAAAATTATGTGATTCTGTGTGATTTTTGTAAGTCTCACATAAACAGATGCAAAGAAACTTATCAAATCTGAAATTTGTATCATAGATGGGAATTTCAGAATTTTTGGCTATATCCTCACTCCAGTTTCTTTTTTCTGTCCGTCAGTACAGCTCTAGGAAGGCGGTGCTTCTTGGGCTTTGGGTTCTTGTTTTATTTTACAAAATACTACAATGTCAAGTGTTTTAACTTAGGACTGGTTAGAGTGGACAGTTCAGAATTCATATTCTGGATCGGCTTCTATGCCCTTCCTATTTCAATCTTGGCTCTACAGGCTGTTTGTCACCTGTAACACAGAAACATTCTCAACTCAGCAACTGAATGTTTATTATCCATGTGCAAGAGAAACTGCACATCCTTCAGAACTAGGCCTCAGATGTGATGACTTAATCACTACATTCTCAGCTAGGGTATGTAACACGAGCTGAAGCCAAGATTTCAATGCCTATGAGATATGTTTATCTTATTTTTACTAACATAGCTTGTCTACATACATATTTAAAATATTCTTCCAAGTTAGGTTCTGAATTTGCTCTTAACTCTTAAGTCCACCCCTGCATTATTTTGCAAATAGCATTGAAATTATATTTGCAACCAAAGGAGATGGAGCTTTGTTTGCTCCATTCATCTCTGTATCCCTGGTTCTATGTCTATATTTACCTTCACAACCTCTTCTGTATTTTCTTTAAAGTTTGCAAAATCTTTAGCCACTACAAAAAATCAAATGCCATATGAAGCAAATATAATTTTCTAACTTATTTGCACAATTTTAATTCTGTGTAAAGAAGGCCTGAGGACACACACAAACGTCAATGAAAATATCAGATACTAAAGTGCTGCTCATTAAGTGAGCATCACCTGAGTTATGAATGAGCAAAGATCCTATTTACAATATATGGGATCACATAAGCATTTATATACTGTTATACTGCCCACAGGCAGTGGGATTATAATGGGATTACTCTCTACAAATTTTCCATAAACTCACATCCTTACATTCAACTTACAAAAAGGAATTTGCCATTTTGTTCCAAGTTGCTTCATATCTCTTCTTCTTTCTCCTGTCCTCCCTGGATCCATGACAACATGGCTTCTGCTACTCCTACACATACTCCCTGCTGCTGCTTTCTTCCGCAGAAAGTTCAAATTCATATGGCAGACAAGGAAAGCGTAAGCATTTCTTTTTCACAATCTTTTTTTGAACTTACTCTGTGTAATGAGAAAACTGAAATAGCTTCTTACCCATAAGCACAGCACAACACAGAAGGTAATATTCTCCTCTGAGAGCAGCAGCACTGGCACTACTCGACTTTCCATGAGGTACACAAGATGTACATACTTGGTCATTGTTAAAAACATGGAACTTTACATGGAACAGTCATGAAAGGCGAGTCAGAATTATTCCCAAAGAGGCGAATCCTAACGGCCTGACGTGTATGTTGGGTAGCAAGATTCAATCCAGATGCAGCCCTTGTGGTACAACAACAACTAACTCATTTTTACAATATATGGCTATAAAATGATGGATGTTGAAGATTTATAATGGAAAAAACGTAGAAGCTGAAAACTGGGATTATGTGATGGCATTGCCTGTACCTGCAGCCTTATGATCTGCAACTGTTTATGGGCATGGAATTGATATAATTAAAAAACATGATTTAAGCATTTCTGTTACTTATGGTTAGGAGTGATTCTCAGCTACAGAAAGAAAGTGCTCTTATTTGGATGTAAAACCTCTCTCCTTCCAAACAAGAGGGATGGTTTTTTTTAATACTATAAAGTTACTAACTAGTGTTTATTTCTTATATTTTTCCAAAATACAAAGCAGTAAATCTATGCAATCATATTGAATTCATCAAATCTCCGTAAGGATTTTGGTAAACTACAAACAATCTGTGATAAGGACAAAAAAATTTCAGAGTTTAACTATACATTTTAGAAACAGTCATCTCTTTCTCTTCATTCTTAATTTTCAAACTGAGTTCATTTCATGCTCACTAGATTCTGTATGGAAATAAACAGAAAAAAACTGACCTCTATCCACCCTTTTCATGCCATAATTGAATGGATCTCTGCTGTATGGAATTGTAGGAATGAAAGGGTAGAATAATTTTTGAGACTGTAGAAAGGTGTAATGAAGAATGAATGATGATATGCAGAGCAAAATAAGATCAGTTTTGGACATGGTTAATTCAAAGAAATAGGGAGGCTTACAGGGAACACTGGAAAATAGGTGAAGTTTTACCAGAATCCCAGCGTCACTGATGTTTTTGCATTGTGATGTAGAAAGTTCCAATATTTTTCCAGGCCAGCCTAGGGCTCTCAAGCCCTAAAAAATTCCAGAAAAAATTAGTCTTAAAAATCAATACATGCAATTACATGTAATTACATTCAACATGTTAAGATGGTCAATACTGTCCAATGCCTGTATAGTAAAGCTTCCATCTAAGAATCACCGCATATTTTAAGACATTCTCTTCAGCAGAACACATATAGTTTATCCTCATACTTTTGAAATATGTATAAGGTTCAAGAATTCTAAGCAGAAATAATTCAATTAAGAAAGGGAAAAATTTTATTTTCCTACCTGCTGAAAAAGAAAGAGAGTGAAGAAAAGTAGTGTGATGTGAAATACTTCCACCAAGGCTCTCATAAACATACATTTACAGATGCACTCCTCCAAAATTTGGGGTTGAAAGAACTTTTCATAATTGTTGGGGGTTTTTTTTAGAAGAACAAAATACTATTTTCTAGGACCAAATAATGTCTTAAAATTGCTGCCTTACAATTAAAGGCTTTATAGCTACAGCTATGGCACAAGACAAGATTTGAAACAGTGCAGTCACACTCATAGGTGTATGAACACCCTCCATATTCAAGACAATAGGGAGGTGAAAACTTCAGTAAATTCCTATTTCAGGAGTGCAAAAGGATCCAAAGATGCTTTGTGATTTTTACTGTTTGTACACCAGGAAACAGGACAATGTCTGATCCTAAATACTCTAAACTGAAGGAGAATTGAATGTTGATTTTGTAAAATGTATTTTGATAGTCACAGCGGAATATCTCTGTACTTCATACCAATAAAGTAAACTTTATTGAAAAGCAAAGTTATCGCTTTATTCCACATGGTTAATAAATTATCTACAATTAGGCAGTGAACAGCACTGCTTAATTGTAGGCAGAGAGGAAGTGTCAGCCTGAAAAATAAGCACATGTAAATAGTGTCTGGAATCCAGATGTGGACACTGTAATGGTAATGCTGAAGAGTGCGGCTGGAGTTCAAATTTTGCAAATTCCTGAAATCTCACAGGCTGAATAAAACCAAAGAATGGAACAAGGAGAGAGATTTCCAATCTTGGAAAATCCTACTTATGAAAACACATAAATTTGCATTTTCCTCAGCAGACACTGTTATGTAGTGAGCATTACTTTCAACAGCTTCATGAAAATCTACAGATTCCAAATTTTTGTTGACCAAAGCACTCCTATTCAAGACAATAAACCATTTATGTACTTAAACCCCTGTGGTGGTTTGGGCTAGGCCTTCCTTGGTTACTAGTTTGTAACCAAGGAAGGGTCCAGATTTACCCAGTATTCCCTACGATTTTTACATAAACCAGATTATAAGAAGAAAGGAGGAGAGGCCTTCGCTCTCTTTCCTTCCGGCGGCTTGGAGGTGCAGGTTCCCTGCTGTTGAGCTGCCGTGTTGGGGAGCGAGGCCTGGTTGGGCCTTGTCGACCTTGGGAGACAGAGGTTGCCGGCGAGCGTTCCGGAGCGACCCTCGGTTGTCCCAGGAGAGTAGTGAGCTATTTCTTTGCTAACTCTTTTAGTGGATAGATATTGGGCTGCTAATTGGGATATTTATATATATAATATTTTGGTTTTGTTCCTTTTCCCTTCCCCCTTCCCTTTCCCTTATTTTTAATTGTATATAAGTGTAAATATATTTATATATCTCACTTTGGTTGTCTCTCTCTCGTTTCGGGTTTTCTTTTGTTTTTTTTTCTCCCTCTTCTCCCTGAGGTTTGAGGGGGGGGGGGGGAACTCTGGTGGTAAGGTTTGGAGACTTGGCAGGGAGCCAGCTTCAAACCATATCAACCCCAAACAGGTTTATGCCAGAACTTGAATTCCTTACAGCAGAGACTGATAATGATAAGGGTGACCTTTAGGAACATAATTTCTTCTTGGATTTTTCTTTATTTGAAAGTGTTCCCACTTTAATGTACTTGCTAAGGAAATACTAGAGAATATTATAAAGATTTTTTTGCTACTTGACAACTAATGCTGTTATGCCTTCAAAGTTAATTTATAATAAATTTATATTATTAAAGTGACATTGAATCACAGAACAACTATTTTGTTAAATGAAAATCAAAGTCTACTTTGAATTATTTCATTATTATTTCCAGATTTAAAAACAGAAAGAGTGAAGACTTGAAAGACAAGAAATGTCATTAGGAACCATCTATTACATATAAAAACTAAGATATTTCTATGTTTCCAAAAAGAAACCTCTTCAAACAAGCTCTATGCAGGAGGTCTAATCTATATGACATTTTAAACTATTATTTTTGTATCTATCATAAATACAAAGGAGCCAATTATCAGTAGTTTTATTAGACTTCCTGATTTATTCAGTAGTATTCCCTGATAAATAACATCAGGGATCCCCATCCAGAATACTGACCTAGTTCTAAAATCTTTTATCTTCTATACTAAGACTCCTGACATTTATGAAAGATATGGTTGGAGCTGTATTATCATTGGAACCCCTGGAAACAGATGCTGGCAAAACAAATACTGTGTAACATAGACAGTAGGATCACCCACTCTAGGATCACTGACTCTCCAAAAACATATTTCCTCTTTAACATAAAAAAATCCCCTCCTGTGTCTTGGATGAATCTTCTGTTGCCAACGCAAAAAGGAAGACTTTGTCCAGCATCTCTTCTATTGCATGTATTTTACCATTTCCATTTAGAAAACAACTTTAAAATAAAACTTCTTATTCCTCTGTAACAGCTGGGGGGTTTTTTTCGGTCAATTTTTACTTTTTTGTTCTGTTTTGTTTACTTTACTACATGAGGCCTACAAACAGTAGCAGAACATCATTTATTATTATTTCACCATGGTTTCTGCAGATGGGAAAATGGGTATTAACTACACCAGTTGGTAAGGGTCTTCACTTGCTATAGGCAAAAGTCACCTGAGGCTATGACATACCAAAGAACAGCTCTTCTTTATTTACATTCACAAGCTGCAAGTCTCTGCCTTTCTACTGTGGCCTGCAATGAATGTACCATCTCTTGCTAACAATAACCATGTGCTACTATATTCAACTTCTGAGATATCTGTTCACATATCTCTTTGTAACCTTCAGGGTCAGCATCTGTAATGTATCTCTATGTTCCAGAGATATACAGATGTTACTTCCTGTTCATACTCCAAAACAAGTAGATTGACCCCAGAGTGACTCCAATATTGGAAGACAGCTTTTAGGAGGTATCTCCCACCTTCTATTTCTGAGTCATTTAGTACTAAATCTATCCTCTAAAATGGTCAGTTTTCTGCACAGATTAGCCACAGCCAGGCACCAGTTTCATGGATCCAACACTAGAAGAGAACAATGTAATTCTTACCATGCAGATTCATTTTGCCATTAACAATACAAATGTGGCAGAACAAAGTTCAGTTTCACATAGTAAAAAGCTCCTGGAAAATGGGTAAGTTCTCACACAAATGTATACACTAACTATACTGTTTCCAACACCTGAGCTAACATAAAGGTGGGTTAGATCTGTTTACAGGAACTGCAGAGACAATTTTCCATTGCAGTGCAAAAATCTCCCTGTGTAACTTTGTGTACAACAAATGCCATAAAATTTAATTTCTGTATCCAATACCATTTGCTGTTAGAGCAGATCATAACTTACAAACTATGGTTGCCAATGTTTCTTCAGGCTAAGTCCAGACAACAGGGCTTCCATTGTAACAAAACGTCCTGTAAAAATATTGAGCCTGATTTTCAACATTGCTCAGTACTTTTAATTCCATCTGATTTGTGTTGGGACTCAAGGTGTTAGAATATCTGGCATCGATTGCAATTACTCTCTTTGTTCTTAATTCCTCTTTTTATGCAGAATTAAGTTTGTGAGTCTCCAAGTTTAAATCTCTCTTTCTCTATTCTCCCAAGTGATTTGGAGGGATAATAGCTGAATTTGGAGCTCACTTTGATATTTCTTTTTCCCTGCCTTGGGAGTGTGTGTGATTTGTCACATCCTTTCCTTTGGAAATCAAATGCAACTCGTTCATTTGCAGTCCATAGCTGGTCGTATCTATTAGACCTGAAAAGATTTTTTCATTACCCTTTACAAGGCTCTCCTACTGGCCTAATTTTCTAACAGACCAAAAAGTGGAGCCAGGCTATCAATTCAAGTCACTGCAGATTCAGAATCCCACTAAGAGTAAAAAGAAAGAGGTAATTGTGGAAAGTCAAAATGCCACTTTCGGCTGTGTGGGGTTTTTTCACCCTATTTAGAAACTTATTATTAAAATATTAGTAATTATTTATGTTTCATCCTGGCCTTCAGGACCAGTCAGGATCTGAAGATCATTAAGTACAAACACATAAGAAAATTGAGCTAAGTGTTCATATATCCATATAACCTCTACTGAGGAGTGCCCAGTGATTACAAAGTATCCTCAAATTTGAATTGTAACTACACACAGCACACAATTCAGCCACACAAGAGAATGGGGCCTTAGATTATCATGAGAGAATTTCACGCATGGCAGTCATTCCTGAAGAAAGTGCAGAAACAAAGAATACTTCTCTCTATGCTTTGTATGTCCTTTTTATCCTTGATTTCAGAAGTTTATCAGGGTTCTTCCCATTTTTAAAGTATTTTACCTATTTTTTGATGTTCCAGGCAATTTTTTTTTCTCTGTCATTATTACACTGCATATAATCCACCACTGATATTAAGCTTCCCTGAGTCTATGTCAGGGCATCTACTGTTTTTGTTGCTGGATGTTCCATATAACTCAGGATCTTTTATTACTGTGCTATGCTTTTCTGTCTAAGTCCTGCTTGATTGAAGGCATTTCCTTCAAATGTCCTGACACTTTTGTACTTAATTACTTTTTTAACGTCTCAGGAATATGGGTGGTCCAGGCCATGTGCATTAGCAGCTTGTGTCAGAACAAGGAAACGGGCAGCTGAGCACTTTCAGACACTCGGAGCAAAGCTGTCAAGGCTGTCTCATGAAGACATCAGAAAAAGTTCAAGACATTTTTAAAAAAATATGGAGAGTATGCAAATAAAACTGGTGACTAAAACCGCTTCTCTAACTCATGGAAGCATTTCCACTGAGTCTGCTTTTATAAAACAGATTTTGGTCCTAAATGCTGATGTTTTCTTCTCTGTAATAGAAGCTTAAAAATCTTACATATACTGTAAATACCCTTACAATGATCTCTAAAATTACGTGTGATATTTTCTATGCATTCATGAACACATTCATCGTACTCATAATTTAAAACACTATGGTTCCTATTCCAGGGATTTTAGAGGAGCAAAATGTGAGGGAAAACAATGAGGGACAGGAGGCGAGCTAGAAAAAAAAAAGGTGGTTTCTTTGCTCTGTCACTGTGTTGTTGCTTTTTTTTCCAAAGAAATGTTGTCATTAAGTTGCAAATATTTTCATTTCTTATATTCTTTTAATTTCTTCGAAACTTTAAGAAACTGATTTCTGGTACTTCAGGAATGACAAAAACAGAACAAATGTCTTTCCCACTATTGAAAAAAGTTATTGAGACTTAAAAAAATCTGTGTTTTTTAAAAAAAAAATAATAATAAAGAAGGAAATATTACCTGAAATGTAAAGGGATGAATGCTAAAATAACGAAGTTTAAAAAAAAATATATATTTAAAATGAAGATGAATTACTTCCTTTATTCTAGCTCATTTTCAGAAGTTTCCCTGGATATGTTCTCTCTATGTAAGATGCAGAACTTTTTACACAATATCAGAATCTGAACATATGCAGTGATTACTTTTATTCAACTTCCAATTTTTAAGTCGAGGAGTAGACTCAGGATAAGGATAATAAACTTCTTCAAACCCAAAAGAGACTTTTAATGTATTTTTTTATTAGTACTATATCTTTTAATTACTGTCTGTCTATAAGGTACTGTTTTGTTGTTTTGTTTTTTTTTTTTAATTAACAATGTCTTGTCAGGGACAAGTCTAAAGAGTCAATACATTTCATCCAAATGCAACAAGTTCTCTGATTGAAAGACAGGTCACAAAAGGAACACTGGGTTTCAGAGTAACCACAGAAGAGGAAGGAACCAACAGTGGGGGAAAAAACTTCCATTTTGCTTAAGTCAGTCATACTTGAGACACAAATCTGTAAAATATATGGCTCTGCTATATCTTTTCTCCTCTATCCTTCCCTTAGGTATCCTTACGGAAATAAATTCTGCTCTGCTTTGATGAGCAGAATGATTCTGCTGTCATTTGAAAAGCCAGAAAGTAAAATTGTCCTGTGTAGTACAAATCTAAATTGCACATTCTAAACATTAAACAGCAAGACAGCAAAAGCAAGAGAGATCTATTGCACATCCTGCAGGGAAGCATATAAGCCTCACGAGTTTTCTCTATCAGCACAGCGTACGGGTGTTGATTACTGCACATAAAACATTGTGCCCTTTTTAAAGCAACACTTACCAAGTCTAAATTGAAAGAGATCTTAGTATGACTTCCTCTGTATGCTAATAAAATGCATAATATCAGGTCAAAGCACACAAACAGTAGCCTGTTACAGAGCAGACTGCAAGTTTTCCTTTTATTAATTAATGTTTTAATACTAGAAAATGTATCTAATATCCACGCATGAATGCTAATGCTTCAATACAGCAAACAGCAAAAATCTTGACAGTTTTTTTGCTGGTATTAGCACTCAGATAGAAATGACAAAAATTAAAAATGGTCAGTTTTTGGGTTAATTTTATCTGTCTTGTGGGAAAGAGAAAACTGAAAGCCTTAGCAGTGCAGTGTAAGCAAAAGAGCTTGGCTTGTTGCCGAGGTCACGGGTTGTGCTATGTGAAAACTAGAGTAAGAAGCAACACAGCATTTTAAAAGACTAACTGTGGCAGGCAAGGAGAAGAAAACATTTATATTGAAACACTGTGGGACTAAAATTCAAGGCAGCATAATTTTCATTCAGATATAATTTTATGATATTTTAAATGAACACATTAAGGGAAGTCTTGGATTTCCCAACCCTCTTTATTTGGCTTAATTTTCTTCTTTATAGTCAGACCTCCATAAAGGATACAGGCATTTTAATTTTTTTTCACATTTTGATTACTTTTGCACAAACTCTTGTGTTAGAGCCAAATAATGAGGTTTTTGGTCAGAATTTTGTTTGGACGGTGACTGAGTGAAGAGTCTCTAGGGCAAATTTTTTTCACAAGGATTCTCTCAGATTTCTGTGTTCACTGTTTGAGAGAGTTTGTCACAAAAGCAAATGAAGCAGCAGAACTGGCTCTGAACCCTGTGCACAAGCAGGACCTACCTGCACTTCTAATGTGGAGTCCTGCAATGTTTAACCTGGCTCCCCAACTTGCTTTTTTTTTGCTTTCCAGTTTTAGCAACTCGACACATTGAAGACACCTTATTAGCAATTCTTTCACTATCAATTGCTTTCTAGATCACAGTGGAGAGGCACAATATGCCTCTGACGGAGCTAAGCTCACACTCAGCTTTCTTAGCTTAGCTCCTGAAGAATCTTGTACCAATGGCCTTACACATCCATTACTGACCCTAAGAGAGAAATGTAGGCAATATTTATAATCAGTACTTTTCCTACTCCATACAAGTCAATACATGATTTGCATTCAGCAGTCAGCATTGTAGATAAACAAAAATTAATAGTGGTATTTTTAAAATAGCCCCCAAAAGAATCAGAATGATGCTGCACTTTGGAATGGCTGAAAACCCAAACTTTCTGGAAAAGAAGGTCTATTGGAGATTACGGGAAATTCTGTCAGTTCCAGTACTCAGGTATGACAGCCACTCTGAAAGACAGAGCTTGAAAAACACATCTAGAAAGTATCAGAACATGTTTAAACATCTCAGAGTAATATTTGTATTAATTTTTTTTTAATTTAAGGAACTGAAATAATTTTAAGCGAAAATTATCTCCTAGCACAGAAGCAAAAGTCATCAGCAGCATATGTATGTGGCGGCTGTTCTGTACTGCATGGAGAGTTAACCTGAATTCTTAGGAGTGTTTCGCTTAATCAATTGCATATCTCCCACACAGCTAACTTATACAAAAAGGTTATAAAAATTAAGTAGATAGAAAGTCTTTCAGCCAAGCTGAGAAGTCTGGAGAGCTGACTCCAACTTTGGTGTTTCAATACAGTTCATATCTCTGGTATGTTTAACATTACTGTACACATAGCTTTTCAATGCATTCCCAGTATTTCTTTTGTGCTCCCTGATGAATAAAAAATTAATCCCAGAATTATGCAGGACAGAATCATACTTTGGCCTGTACACTTTGTTGCAGCACAAAGAATCACTGCAAATCCCAAAGTCTCAGCACTACTAATAAACCGATAACCTGAACAGAGCCTCATTGTGTGACCACAGGCTACAGAAGAAGCTAGAATTCATAAACTGTTAATTACTCTGCAACAATTCAGCCACTGTGGTAGTTTGGGTGTTATTTCACAGTGCAGTTGTTTTTCATTCTAGATGACAGACAAATTTAAGAAATGTAACTTCAGAATAACCAACTCGCATGAAGTCTATAAGGATGGCAGGTCCTGGCAATACTGAATTAAAAAAAATTTAAAATACTTATTCTGTAACCAGAGGTGAGTGAGAGAGCAGCTTTGGTGGGTACCTGGACCCCCAGGGTCAACCCACCACACAAGTTTAGATGTGTTAAAATCTATAACTTTGTTAATGCTGAAACTTTTAAAAGTGTCTGCAAAAGCAATAAAGTAAGTACAGAGTTCTACAACAGCTTTACAACTGCTTAAAAATTTTGTTAGGGTAATTCAGGAATTCTTTAGCACTAGAGGCAGTAGACACGTGCAAACACACTCACAGCCCATGATCTGGCTGACAGACTGGAAACCCAGCCTTCTAAATGTTAAACCAGAATACACAGGCAGCTGTCCCACCTGCCCAGCTGAACTACCAACATGATACCACGGTATTATTCCAGCTCTTCTACTGATATGTGACACATCTGAAGTGGAAAACAAGCCTTCATATAAAATATATCCTTCCCCTATACCATAAATAACAATATTTTCTTGGTAATTGTAAAAAAAATTGGCAGTTTTATTTATATCTTAGTATTAGACAGTTATAAAGTATTATTTCAATATTCAAAAAATTAAATAATGTCCAAGTTTCAATATAATTCTTACACTGGAATTGTCTTTGATTATCATATTCATCTTCTTCATAGCCACATTCCAGCACTGAAATATGCCATGGCTATGAAGTCATACTAAATCTACAGTTAGTTTTTTTGCTTGAATTGTATTAATAATAAATACATTTTTGAAAACATGATACAGGACCAAAAAACTACTTGCATAAAATATTTTTTTATATATTCAGATGCATATATTAACATTCTAAGAATTTAGTTTTAAAACTGAAACGTGTTAACAGGACTTATTACGAGTATAATTAACTACTACAATCCCTTTGCAATGGTTACAGAAATCCAATGTGATCTAGTGCCTTATACAGTCTGCCACATTCAGTACAAGAATATGTTTCAATGGTGAAATCATCCTAAGACCAGCATCTGTAATCTTCTGGCATCAAACAGACATATGAATGTGCCTGATGTATGGGGCTGCATTTACTCATCAACTTGAAATTGAAATATTAAAGATGTAAGTTACACATCTGACATACATTAAGGGACTGATCCAAATATCCACTGAAATGAGCTGATTTATTTCAAATTATCTGACTGAATTTTAAAAATATATCATCCTAAGAATTTTTTGAATTAATATACTAATATTCAGTGCTGACCTTGACAAGGGCTTTAAAAGTTCAGAAAGTTTTGGAGAGTCAGGGAAGAAAATAGACCTTATTTGTTGGCGTTTTGGAACCAGAGTCTTTGAAGAGAGAAGGTGACATAAAACATTCATATCCCTATGCTGTCACATAAAAAAAGATCACCAAATATTCTGCATATAACACCAAAATGTTACCATTTCAAACAAATAGTTATAATTCATTTAAACAGTAACTTCTAGACAGGGAGCGGTATGTGAAACACTTAAATTCTTCATATACTTATGTTTTGGAACACAAGGAAAAGAAGTAAGCACCTGGAGACATGAAATAGGACACATGTGAGACAGTGATCTAGTTAACAATCACTTTTGCAGAAGCCTGGAAATTCTTTTTTGATGGGCAAAATCAGTAGGAGAATGCTGTTCCCATATATTACATTAGCTTTAACACTAAAAGTGAAAAGTGCTCATTTATAGACTGGAAGACCATAATTCAGACATACTAATGCAAAAAAGAAGACAAGACAACTGAAATTTTCTGCACAAGACTGTAAGTGAGCAAGATTTATAAACATAATTAGCTAATAGTTGTAAAAAAATGTTTTGGAGAGAACTTTTCCTTTCAAATTGATTCTGAATAACTTTCTTTAAAGTCATTTGAGAGGATAACCCAGTTCCAACATCAGAAAGTTTCTCCAAATGTACAGATTTATTTTCTTACTTGAATACATCTGTCTGTAAGAGTTGGCATTTTGCTGATTAGCAAATCTTGAATTCCATTGCAGCCATTGGCAATACTTCTGAAGACATCAACTGAAATTTAGACAAGAAATAAAATGATTATGTCTTAGCAACCCTAACAAAAACATTACAGGGAAAGCTTGAGATCTCTTCAGTATTTTAAAACCATAGGTACCTAGATGCTCACTAAGACAAGAAATGCATTAATCTTACCAAAAGAAAAACAGACCCATAAGGTATATATATTATTCTGCAATTTGAACAACATAATCCAAAGGATCTGTCCAAAAAGTGTGTCTTTTAATCAAGCAAGAGTAAAGTCCAACAATTTTTACAGCTGACACCATTTATGGAAGTAGTAATGAATGTCATCGTCACATTATTCTACCTTAGTTTTCGCAGCCTTACGAGGTATTCACTGCTAAAATCCAGTTTGAAGCAAACTCTGAATGTAGCAAAGTATCTTCATCGCTTTTTTTCTAGATCCATTCCATCTGGATCCATTCCAGATCCAGATCCACACATAAAATGTGTGTTAAATTCAGAGGGGATACAAGGAAAGATCCTGTGCAATCACAATAAACTGAGCTCATTTAGAGAATCCTTCATGCAGGACCACATCACCAACCCTGAATACTCTAACAGAGCAATATTCAGTGAAGTTACAAAAGGACAGATGGATTTGTTAATTCAGTTTATTCCCTTTATCACTCCAAGGAGACAACTCTTCAACTACCTAAATTCAATAGATGTCCGTTCACTCTTGGGCATACGAAGTATTTCCTTTGACATATAAATGCTGTGTAAAGTAAAGGACAGTTTCCTTCTAGCTTCATGTTCCACAGACAACTTGGATGTGAATCATTCCTCCCCAGGAATTTGCCCCCTTGATATTTGCAGGTAGAGATTTCACTGTTTCCCAAGGGTTTGAATTTGTATAATATAACAGATGATGGTTGGACTTGGTGATCTTGGAGTCTTTTCTGACCTTAACGATCCTATCATTCTATAACAGTTTTGTGTGGTTCAGACCACAGCCATGCTGTGTACCAGGAATTCATTCACAAAATGTCCATAGAAAAAAGTAGTCTGTCATATCCCCCTGGGTACCAAATGAGGCCTGTGGAGAGAAGAATCCAAAGCAGGAAAACTGTAATACAAAGTATTTTGGGTGGGATTCTTGCTGTGTCCTACCTCTGCTACTTATCAGTGGAAACAAGGGTCAAGCCTGCTTTCCTTCCATCTTGCATTGAATTAGAAGATTCACACCCTGGGTTTCTGGCTCTTCTTCATTTTGCAAACTTAACATTTGGGTTCTTTTTGCATTTGGCATTTTTTTCATGGAGTAACTGACTTTAAGTTAGAATCAAGGCAGACTGTCTTTTCTTTTCTGGCATAATGCCCCATCTTTTAACTTATGCCCAGGTTGGCTTGCTCTTTATTTTCAGGCTGGAGTGGCCTTTTAAACAGATTCTTTGTAAATTGTTTTAAATATTTTGATGTCAAATGTCTTCTCTCTCCTTAAAGGACTGTGGCACTCTTTGCATTTTTTCCCTTGTGCAGCGGGGGTGTCAACACTAGAAGGGAAGTGGCTGGAAATGTTTGTGCAGGTCTCACAGCCAGCTAGCCAGAATATGGTGTGGCTCATGACACACACTGGCACTGTTAGCACTGTAAATAATCTGGTGTGTTTTAAGCTCAGGACAAGTGTAGCATAAATGTTTTTCCTACAGTGGATCTGTAGCAGCCTGTAAAATGGGAGTGAAAACCCTAACACCAAAATAAATAGAAGAAATATTTTACCAGTAATGCATGGTAATATAAATCCCATCAACTACCTGATAGCTGCCTGTGCTCAAGGTCAGGTCTGATATGGTGCAGCTGCAGAATCTGGATCAGGTTCTGAGACCAGCCTGAGAACAGCCACACCGTAAGAAAGAGGTGAAGAAGGAAAATCTTGGGAGGCTGCAGGGCTGCAGAATAGGATTATACAGAAAGAACCATCTTGTAACCACAAGCTGCTCAGAGCATGTAGAGCTTGTTGGTGCAGTCCAGGCTCTCACAGCACCTCCAACTGAGACATATCCGTTGGACAAAAGGGCACTGTGACTTTGGGAATGTGGTTGGTATGGTAACACATCAGTGAGGATCTGCAGAGAGTACTGTAGATCTCACTCATCAGCATGGATAGGTTGGATTTGCCCACCACAAATGATTGCAAAACAACCACTAACAGTATATGGCAAAGGCAATACTCTTTTCTACTGCTAATGATCACTAGAAGGTAAAATGTTGGTGTGGAAAGATGGGTGCTAGTTCTCAGGACAGAATGTAAAATTCAGCTGTCCAATTCTAATTTTGTACTCACTATTGGCATATGTGATGTAAGACAATATAATCCTATCTTGTTTCCTCAGCCCAAAACCTTCAGTATGTATGAAAGGGATTAGCTTAATTGTGAATATCAAACAAGCAGCTGCCTGAGGGAAGCACTGGGAAATCTTTACTCTCTGCTGGTCAGGAAGCACCAATTGCTTTACCACAGCATCACCAATTCGTCCAAGCAGGAGTTCACCTAACCCTGCAACAGGCCTCTTCCTCATTGGCTCTCAAGTGCCACAACAGAATAATTATGAATCCTGGGATCTCTGTATAGCAAAGAGCAACAAAGATCCCAAGACAGGTCAGACCTGACAAAGTCTGAATCGCCTCTGGAGACCTCCCTCCCTCTCTAATGGTTACGTAGATAAATTAATTTTCTAGGCACCACCTTAGTTTAGAGGCCTAAAATTAAGTGAAATTCCCATTCTCAAAAGGATAGATAGTAGGTAGCAGGTAATCAGATCATACTCCACAATCCTGAGGAACAAAAGTAGCATGTCTGTTTCTGGAATTCACTAAGGATTGCATAATGTTAACTGCAGTCTAAAGGACTTTTAATCTCTGTCTGGAAAAACACTGTTCACTTAACATAGCCATTTGATACCACAAATAGCAGAAATCTGGTGTTTTCCTCCATGCAATCCAAACCAAATTACACTGAAGCAGTTAATAATACCCCTGCACAGATTGTTTAAACTTTTTTTTCACTAGAAGAGTTTTTTAACTTAATAACTGGATAATGAGTCTCGGGCATCAGGCTGAGAAAGTTCCAGTGTGAAACATGTATTCAGATAAGATTAAATAAAATTAGTCAACATTTAGATGCTATTGCAATATCATATGTATTTATCTTATTTTCCTTTATTCCCTTTATTAACCTTAATTTCTTCTCTAAAGCCCATATGGACTATCTATGAAACTTCAGGCACTCTTGAAGATAAAGTATAGAAATATGAAATTTTGTGCACATTTTAGTAAAACAATTGCTTTCTCAACTCACCTGAAATTGCTGTGTTTAATAGATTGCCTCAAGAGTGAAGAGTTTGTCCTGAGAATCAGTGTTAGGATACATATGGAGTTTAATACTGAATTCTTTGCCCCAGATGAGCAAAAACCAACTTAAACCTTCTCCTTCAAACCAATTGTGAGGAAAGATCTTTTGAAGGTTATTGAGTCTTAGCTCCTACAAAATTCTGCAAAATAGACTTTTTCAGCATGACCTGTAAGATTATTCTATAAATGTTTTACTTTTCTTGCACATACAATTCAGAAGTCAATGGAATGATAAAATATAAATATAAATAAAACAAAGTAAACAAGTAAAATATAAGTCCGTGTCTGCAGGAGTTTTCAGTCTAATATGTAGATTTCTGACTTGGGTTTTTTCTAAATTGTATGCTAGGATACTGTGATCTGAAATGAAAGTACATCAAAACAAACATGGAGCAAACCACAGCTAAAGATCTGTCCCCATAAATTTAGAAAAAAAATTTAGTGAAATGATAAAATGCTTGTAAGAATCTCAGAGTTCATTTAATTTAATCTTTTTACAGTTTCTTAATCCCAAAGAATAGGACTATGCAGATTTTTTATTCAGGTTTTGGCTTCTTTGCTACACATCTCCCACTTTAAAATTCCCTCTTTCTCCCCAGAACTGACTGTATTTGTGAAATCCATTCTGCAAGGCAGAATGCTGTCTGCAGTACAGAAGGGATTTTGAAGAAACACTATTCTATGATTCCAGTATTGGCAACGCACTCTGAGTGTAGAAACTTGAAAATCAATGTTCAGGATCGAGGAAGTACTCACTGGGGCACAAGGGACTATCTTTTTTTTGTGTGTCCTCTCTTTGTCAAGAATCATAAAATGAATTGTGGTATCCCTTCAGATGTTTAGCACATTACATTAATGGCTTGCCTCTACATGTTATTTTTCTTTTAGTTTTCCACTGTACAAAAGAAAAAGCTTATATTAACATACTCCTGAATTAGCATGTTTCTAAAAATAAATAACAGTCCATGTGTAACTTATAGTATTCTTCAGTTACACAAGTTTGTACTCAGGAAATGTAAACAACCAGTTCTCTTCTTCAATAAATAAAGAACATGGCTCAGACTTGCTCCCCAAGTGATGGCCCCTTTTTGTTGCTCGATAGGTCCGAAGAAGCCAGAATTGGACAAAATGAGAATTCTCCCAATGAAGCCAGAGCAGGAGGACTGCAGATGGTGACAACTGGTGAAGCCTACACATTTGCCAATAGCTTTCCTGACATCCCCACTAACACTGAAGGATGTCAAGAAATGAAAGGGTCAAACTTATTTTTCCCAGTGGCTTATCCAGCTGTTGTAAACCACAGCAAGTGACAGACTGTTCCAACACATTTTGGGCCAGAATAGTTTCAGTCAGAAAATCAGCCACAAATGTCACCAAAAAAAAAAGGTCAATTTCTTTGAACACCTTCATTTTTCTAATTTAACTGGAAATATCTCTCATCAAACTGTTCTAGTTGTATCATCCCCACCTAATATGTTGATAAATGACATGCAATTGCTTTATACCCTCCCGTCTTTTCAGTTTTGTGTCTAACAGCAGAAAATTTTCCTCCTGTGCTGTTCAGCTTCAGAAGCAGGACAAAGAAATCTTATGCTTTCTACGTAATGTTATGAGAACATCAATGGTGTAACAGGGTACCCTTTGAGCAACACACAAGAGAATCTCTGTATTTTTATGAAAATATGTTGAAATTCATTAGTGAAAATATTTACCACCTGTGTCATAAGGACACGATCTTGATTACTGTGTTTTATGCAAAAAAACCCCCTTACCTACAATTCATCCAGTGTTATCACCAAGTATTAATATAACAGTCAAAGGAAAGACTGCCCTGCTTCATGACAACAAACTAGAATTCCCAGTTTTCTGCCTAACTATGTTTTAACAAGCTATTTAAATGCCCTGGTCCTCAAGTTGCCACTTTACAAAATCATTCGCATAATCACCCATTTTACACATGGGCTTTCTAAATAGATGTTCAAATCCTTTGGTAATAATGGTAATAGAAGAATTCATATAAAAAGAACTCTAATACTAAAATAAAAGAAAAAAACAAGAATAATGAAAAAACAGGGAAAATACATATTCTATAGAATATATATTCTGTTCTATAGAACATTTTTAGCATAATTTAAATATTTGTACTATAGCTTCCCTACATTTTTCTAACTAAATCTGAAATATTAGCCTTTCAGAAGTTCCCTTTGGTTTAGTTCATCCAGTGAGAGGGAAAAAAACCCTATCTTATTAAAATGCTTTCTGTATCTGTGATGCAATCTGATGCTCTTTTTGGTTTTAACTGTTTACTTAAGCACTTGGTTATAATCATTAAGCACGGCTCCAGAATCATGGGGAAACCCAAAATGGAGCAAGCTGTGGAATTCCTTTCAGAGCTCTCAAATACACTGGCAAGCAAGCCCACTTTCCTCTGGAAGGGAAGGACTGTGGTTTTCCCAGTCTGATGATGATCCCTTTTCTCTGAGTACTATGAGATCATGCTTTCTAGAGGCAGATCCCTACAGCTCATGATGACACTTCTGAACAAGAAGGAATGATGCTTTTGGGAAACAGAACCAATTACTGGCATTTTGAAAAAGTAACTCAGAGGTAGGTAGTTCTTAACTTTCCTCTAATCTCAGCCCTCATTTCAAACTTCACACTGTCACTGCACAACAGTCTGATGACTGTTATGAACAAGAAACAGATACTCAGATCAATTAGATCAATTAGAACAAGAATGTTGCCCCATCTGCCTTCATCTTTGGTTCTGAAAAGGTTTTATTAGATGCAAAGTTAAACCATGATATTATTCAGACTCCACCTCTTTATCATTTCACATGTATTTTGTAATATGGAGAATCTACTCAGTGTATAGAGAAATGTATGTGGAGTCTTTATTGTCTTACAATCTGGTATTTCATATTGCTTTTGGAGTATGTTTCAAGATACAGTATACATTTGAAAGTTTCTAAAATGTACCACATTCTAAAACTTCGGTTTTCTTTAGCATTTTAGTAGCATACTAAAATAATCCAAAATTTTTACTATTTTTGATTGCAGTTATAAATACTACGTCTATTTATATATTAAAGCAATATAAAATAGTAAGAAAAATTAACTTTTTAATTAAATTCCTTCTTAGGAAATCAATTGTAAATTTTTCTTTTTTTTTTTCCAGCACAGAGTGTCTTTTATTTTTTTGATATCTTAGCAAAAACTGCATTTCCAAAGCTCCAGATTTTAAACCCCAACTAATCATGGCACAGAATTAGTCTATTTATGGCTACAAAAAGCAAGCCTTGTTCTCATTATGCAGTAAGCACTAGCTGTTTATAGATCTGACAGTTTGCTGGAAGGGATCCAAACCTATAGTGCTATTATTCCTGAGTAAAACTTAAACAGCTGTAGTCATGTAATTCAAAACCCTGGAAGGCTGCTGCAGTACTCATTCAGCTCCAGTATACCATGAATGCAGGATGCAGCCAGTCATATAAAGGATTCTTTGCTTCTCAGAATGAAAGAAAGACGTGAACTACAAACCTGAATGCAACCTGACATTTCCAAACAGATGAGCCTGTGACAGCTTCTTCCAGAGTCCAGGTATGGTAAACCTTTGTCTGTGAATTTTCTGCAGTGAGCTAAACTCAGATACTGTAAAGTGGGGAAGTTGCTTTGCAAAAAAAAAAACAAAAACAAAAACAAAAACCAAAAAAACCTCCCAAACCACAAAAAACAACAGAAAGAAAATTATTACAAGGACATGTTACAGAGTCAAAAGAACATAAAATACCGTTGTTAAAGTATTCTGAAAATTACTGTAAAGAAAAGATGTTCAATATGAAATTGAGTTATCTTCTTGCTGATGTTTGAAAATCCTTTCTGTTGCAATTTTTTCTCTGCTCCTAGTATTGCAAATTACTGGGGAATAGCTCTATCATACAACATGTTTCACCATATGAAACCAGTATAATTTTAAAGTTATCTCCAATAACTGCAAAAGCATACTTTTTAAATTAATTGGAACTTTTTTGTGCATACTTTGCAAGTATGATTTTTCAGTATAAGTTTTCTGGACTTCCTTTGCCATTAATTTTACAAGCAGTGCCTGCTGGAAATGAAAACCAGATCTCTATCAAAGAACGTTAAAAGCTTAAATGTGCAGTTAAAGCTTCTCAAGTAATATAATTATGTAGAAGAGTACTATTAAAAGAATATGAAAAATTGAAAGAGTTACAAAAGGGAATTACCCTAAGGTGAGTCACGCAATTTTAGATTTTGATCTGTTCTTTTGAAAAACATTTCTTTATACTAAACATTAGTTAAGAGAGATCAAACTGTGTAAGTAGAAAATGTTAACCAACAGCACTCTGTAGAAGCAAGAATCTATACTCTGAATTTACTTAAGTTTCCATCTGCAGCTTTGGTTTATATCATACTGGAAACTATTCATTTTACTGAACTACATTTCTAACTGGAATAAATAACAATTGCCACAAGCACCACAAATGAAAGCATGCAGAAAATCAAAACCTAGAATTAGGACCTTCTGTTCTGGTAGACATTTAGTTGTAGGGATATAGTAATGCAGTTCTGCAAGTCAGCCAAAGCAGGCATTTTGAAGAAAGATGGGAACACCCACTGAGGAGCTGACTGCTTAAGGAGTGGCAATACTGACTTTTGGAGCTGACTTTATACTTTCAATATAGAGTGGGAAAACATGCTAACTTGAACTGAACACAAAGAGATAGGAAATACAAAAGAATGCTGTCAAAAAAGAATAATACAAAATATTAAGAAATTAAATATAAGATTACATTTCATGAAAAAAACCCAACAAGACGGACAATGTGCATCAGAACTAGATATTAGAAAATAAAGGTATGTGTTATTTCTGGTGTCTGTTTTTAAAAATGGAAATATTTTGTTCATATTAAGAACAGAAATAAAAGTATCCTTCTCTGTAGAAGCCTAAGCCTTTTTGCGTTTTAGGGTCACATCCCACAGAAATAAGTAGCAAAAATCAAACTTGGAGAAGCATACTTCAAACATATCTGATAAAATAGATAATACATTAGGAGACTGAATTTTATACTCTGGTAGTTCTAAGTTTTTTTAAAGTATATGTTGCTACAAGGTTGCACAACTTAAGACACAGGTAAGCCTTTCTTACTGCATATTGAAAGCTGTGATCAAAACCTTATAATACTTTTGAAAGGATGTTAATTTTCTTTATAGGTCATATTACTAATTTTTTATGATCTGGGAATTTTAACACATTCCTTCTTTTCCATTTTAAAACAATCTTGAGCACACAGACTACTAAAAATTCTTGTTTTGTGTTAGAGCTAAATTCTGCAGGAGTTAAATCATACTGGTTCTTCAATTAATTTTGACATTTGCAATCTCAGGATCATTGTTTTAAAGCAATCTGACAAAATCCCCTTCTGACATTTATTCTTGATGGACAATATTCATGTCTACCAAATGCAACAGAACTTTTCAGAGGGAAACTATAGCTGATTATTTGTGTTGTGAAATATGGAGGTTAAAATGCTTGTATGGAATAGTATGAGTACACTCCACTAGCTCCTTGTTCCAATAAAGGATGTCTGACATACCACAGTAAACTTCACGTGCACTATTATGAAATGCAATACTGCCATCTCTAAGCAATTTGTATTAGTTACCATATACAGAGGACTTGTGCTGAGCTAATGCTTTTGAGATGATGTAAAATGTTTATGAAATCTGTCTGCTATCAAAATCTTCACAGGACAGCAACTTTCTGTACCTCCACATAATCTCAGAAACGATGAGCTTTGCTTTTTTGTCCAAAAACTGTCAATACCAACAGTGGAATCTTATGGTTTTAAATCAGAACTATCATGTGTGACTGGGAGAGTTTCTTATTAACAAGATACAAATTAATTGCAAAAGGTATTTTAATAGTGGATAATTTTTCTTTGGTATGTGCTATTTACACATCAAAAGAAATGATGTTCCAAACTTCACCAAAAATATATGGAAATTTAAAAATACCAGCCAACATGGAGAAAACAGAGATTATAATAAGGATAATACTAATGAGGAGATGAGTGGTAAGATTGGAGACATAAAATACAAAACTTTGCCAAAACAAATGTTAGTTATATGAGAATATGGTGTTACAGACTAAGAAAAACAAAAGTCAAAATGTATTATGCAAATGCCAAAGAAAAACATGTTTCTGAGCTTTGTGGGGATGCTGTTGAAAGAAAGACATTTGTTTTCCTCATAGAAAAGGGAAACAACGTACAGTTATCTTTAAATCTATATCCATCTTTGTGATGGCTGCTGTCATGGACCAGCACATCTCTTGTCCTCCATGGCAGCTTTTAATGCAGCAATTCTACCAGCCAGGCAGACTTCAGGTATCAAGGGATACATTTAAAAACAGGAATGGGAGACTTTTGTACGATTGTAAATTCTCTGCTTTCAGCTCACTGATCTTCCAAATAAGAGTTTGGAATAAATCCTTCTTTTGCAGTTGTCACACAAGGCTTTGGCTCACACAATACACCCATCCACAATCCTCTGTTTCAAAAACAAATTATTAAGAACATATCTAACTTGCAAACTTCTTGCATCATCAGTGAGGAACTGGACATGGACAAGAAATTTTTGGGTAGCATGTTCTTTTAAAAACTTTTGTAAACTGTGCAATATATAGGGGACACTACCATATATTTTTAAATATACTAAAAAGATAAAAGAACTGCTATCTAAGTGAAATGTATGGGGCATTTCTTTAATTTTTCATAGCAGACAGAATCCTGCAAATCACTTAAAAAGAGTATTTCTGTTACATATGCCTCTAAATTTCCTACAAGATTAAAACAAATACACTTTCATATTTCTGATTAATTTTATCTTGACAAAAGTCATAGGACTATTCCATTAGTATTATCTCTATACAACAGACTTAAATAGAGAAGAGCTCTGCAGCCTTCTGGTGTCTCATCAATTCATCCTGACTAATGAAAAAAATCCAGAAGTATATTAAAATTATATTTGTATTTTTATTAATTTATCCTACCTTTTTATGCAGAGTTTCAAGGGAACAAAGCCATGATTAAATATTTTTAAATCATCATAAATTTTTATACATCTCAGCCATTTTCTTTGGAATCCTCAGAGTAGAATACTGAGAGACATCTGATGCTACTCTTACTCACTTGAAGTATGGTCATTTTATCATTTTAATTCAAGGATACATACACTATACAGACCTATAGAGCATGAAAACTTTTCATATGATTGAAAGTTAGCACATGTTTACACATTTTGGTAAATCAAGATTACTCTTAGCCAATCTAAAACCACTGGTGAATTTTATCCATGAGCTCTGGTGCATTTCTCTAACCTGTAATATAATTTACAGAATTCTTCCTGTTTAGTTCTAACTTCTAGGTGGAATGTTAGATTTGAGTAATTATAGTGCTTCTACATGTTATTGACCTGCAGAGAGGTACTACCTATAGTGTTCTATACATTGTTCCATTATTATATAATGGGAACAAATCTCCTAGTATGAAGAACATTTCACAGTAAATGTCAATATAATAGAAAGGCAAAAAGTCAGCACTTGTACATGAAAACGTAGTAGTTGAGTGCATACCTTTTGCCATATTGTGGTCACCTTGTCACTATTTCAGTTATCAGGCAAAAGGACAATCCAGATAGCTGGTAATTCAATACCAATCAACTAACTCTAAAGAGGACAGTTTGTGCTTTTGAAATACATTCCTGTAATGAAGGATTTGAGAGAGGAGATATCAGTGAAAATAGGTATGCTGAGGGAAGATAACCATAACCTGAAGAGGACTGAAGGCACGGGCAGTGATGAGAAAGCACTGGGGGGAACAGCACGATGAGGGAAAATTCCAAAACCTTCCACATGAAAGCAGCACAACCGAGGGTCTGTCCCAAGGGTCTGAACACAAACACTTGCTGCACAGGAATCAACCAGCAGGGACCAAAGTCCACACACAGATGCAGAGCTGTGATTTCATTGGGACTCCAGAGATGCAAAGGGGTAGCACGCACAAGCGGAGGGGTACACTGAATGGTTCCAGAACATTTAGGAATGACAGCCCAGAAAGGTGAGGATGGGTTGCACTCTATGCAAAGTTATGCCTGAACACATGGAGCTTTGCCTTGGAATGGATGACAAGCCAATCAAGATCTTATTTTAAAGATTAGAGGCTAGATCTGTGAGGATTACATTGTGGTAGGTATCTGCTACAAATTGCTTGATCAAGTAAAGAAGGCAGATGAAACCTTTGGGCAGCTGAAAGAAGCCTTACTATTGCTTATCCTGGTTACTCATGAGAGACTTTAACCACTGTGGCACCTGCTGGAAGAACAATATGGCTGGGCGTGAAAAATTCAGGGACTTCCACAGTATGTTGAAGACAATTTCTTGATCCAGCTGACTGACAAGTGGTCTAGGAAATACGTTTTTCAAGGGGTGAAGGAACGTGAAGAACTAGACTGGCTTTGTTACTGTGACCATGAAAAAGAGAAGTTCAAAATCCTGAGAGAAGAAAACTGGACAAACCATAGAAAAAACCTGAACTTGATAGCAGATTTTGGCTTGTTTAGGGATCTACTTAACAGGATCTCATGGAATACAGCCCTGGAGGGCTGTGGAATAATGGATAGGGTTAAAAAGGGGTTACTTTTTTGCCTCAGTTTTTACTGCTGAGGCTTGTCTGAAGGCTTCCCAGGTGCCTTGCTTGGAGCCTATGAGGAGAGTCTCTGGGAAGGAAGAAGTTAATGTCAGGGAGCACCTGAGGAAATGGAGTGAGTCAGGGTGCATCCAGGAGCTGAGAAAGCTGGCTCTTGCCACTGAGAGGCCTCGCTCAGTTTTGAAAGTTCACAACAATCAGAGGAGATTCATAATGACTGGAAGATAGGAAATGTCAGATCCATTTTCAGGAAATGGAAGATCCAAGAAATTACAGGCCAGTTGGCTCCACCTGAGTCCCTGGGAATGTTATGCAGCAAATCCTCCTTGAAGCCCCATCCAAGAACATGAGGGATTAAAAAGTCACAGCAAGCAGCCAGTATAAATCTACCAAGGGCAAAGAATTACTCACTAAGATGGTAGTTTTCTATGATGGAATTACTGGATCTACAGATAAGGGGATAAAAGCATCTATTGTGCATCTTGACTTCAGCAAGGCCTTCAGCACAGGCCATAGTATCCTTTATAGCCAAATTGGTAAAATAAAGACTGGGTAAATGGACTTCAAGATGAGTGAAACTTTGTCTTGACTGTGAGCCCAAAGGGTTGTCACCAATAGTGCTAAAGTCCCACTGGTGTCCTGTGGAAACTGGTATCCCTCAAGAGTCAGTATGGAGGCCAGGACTGTTAAATGTCCTTATAAATGGTTTGGATGGTAGGAACAGAGTACATTCTCAGCAAATTCACAAATTATTCCAAACTGGGGGATCTGTTAATACACTGGAGGCTAGAACTGCTATTCTGAGAGATTCAATCTGGAAAATTGGGCTGAGAGAAACCTCATTCAGTTCAACAAAGGTGAACGCTAAGTCCTACAGCTGGGATGGGATAAGCCCACGCAGTCCAGTACAGTCCAGACACTGGACAGAAAGCAGGAACCTACAATCAACATGACCCTGGAGAGGCACACGACCTCTAAATATTACACTGCAATTATAACATCATATAGCAAGTATTATGTTATGTAGCAAGCTGATTCCACAGTGTTACTCAAAGGACTTCATAGTAATTCTTTATCCATTCTTTGTAGTTGCTATAGCAAAGAATTTTACGTAATCTGTGAAAATTATGAGAGCAAGACACTTGGCAATAAATAGGACAGAGAAGAAGATATATGTAAAGCAGAACTAAAACAGAGTATTATAAATTAGAATCTCATGATTCTTCTGCAGCTCTTGCCTCTCTAACTTGACTATGATAAGCCATTTTTGCATCAGGTACATAAGCTGTAGCTCATCTGTGGTAATTTTTAAAACCTTGTGTGTAAATACTGGCATGTTTCTTGGCTAGAACCTTGCATGTACACTTCACTACAAAGACAACTAAACTATACCAAATTGTTTGTTTATATACCTAACACTAGAATAGACTATAAATGGATGTATACATCATCTGTCTATTAAGAACCATAATTTCTTAAAAAAATATTAATTGTATCTTTAGATTGATTTTATTACTAGAAAAATTTGCACATATCGGTGTCTTTTCTAAGAAATTGTTAATTAAGGCAGAGTGAAATATTGTTTTTCCATCAGACACAGCAATGAAAAAAACATTAAAGAGAATTAATGGAAGCAAGATAAAACTGAAAATGTTAAACTGGAAAAAAATGGACAAATACATAATGGTGATTGCATTCTTAGACACCTCTTAAAAGCTCCCAAAAATATCAAGAAATTTAGTGAGATGTCTTTAGAGCTCAAGTGTACTACTGAAGGAAGGAATAAAGGAACCTGAAAACAATATAGTATTAAAATGCATTATGAACAACTCCAAGCTCATAATAACAAAACCCTCCTCCCAAACTGGTGAAGTTTTGAAGCCTGTTTATTAAAATTAATTGAAATGGAATATATGATTTTCCCTGGCACCGTATAAAACCAAAGAGAGCTTCACTGATTATCTCTGAATCCTACTAAATTCCATTTTCAAAGTACTTGAGAACACAAGTCTTTATTTTTTATCAGGAACATTTGTGTACCCAAATAACCACAGCACTAGGAAAAAATCTTCCCTAGAGTTCATAGGAAAAGTCTATAGCCTTTACATTTAACCCCTGGCATTCAGAGATATTCAAGACTTGCAAATTCCTACATTCACCTAAAAAAACCCACAAAACCAAAATAAAAAAACCCAAACCCAACCAAACCCACATTATATTAAAGGTTAACAGCTCAAATTTTCAGCATATGACACAAGTGTATGAATTCCTCATACACATTCAGTCCATCTAGGCCAATATCCTGAACTCATGGTCACAGTAGATTACTGAAATGAAAGCACAAACCCCAAAAGTAGAATACAGAGCTGGAGTAAACTGACTTGAGAAAATGACTTGAAAACAAGTCCACACTCAAGCGCAGACTAAAACTGTGAGTTTGACAGTCACTGGATGACTTTCCCTGGTCTGGCTGTGTATGTGTTCCAGTTGTTTAGCACCAAGAAAGTTGGAATATATCAGCTTCAAACTCCTCTTTCAAACCCAACTTCCAAGATTAACTTAAATGTAAAGAAGATCCAACCTGATGCTGTTTTCCTGAATACATGAGATCCTCCTGACAAAGATAATTTAGAAATTGGTCCATGCAGTTTCCCATGTTTTATCAATTAGACCTAGTAGACCAGAGACAGTAAAAACAAAGAAACAAACTAACTAACTAACAAAGATAGGACATTAAATGTTCAAAGCATTTGTGAAGCTCCAAGTAATGTGATGATTGAGTACTTGACTGAATGCTGCATATTATGTACAAGCCTCCATGAAAATGCCCATTTCATCTGTTCTAATGTTTTACTTTTCTTCCAACACAGGGATCCCACATACCCCAGCTGTGCCTCCTCATATCTGTACAACACTGATTCAGACTATTCAAAAATTTCAACTGTTCCAGCTGTCACAGAAAATAACTGGGGCCAGCTGAATGTCAGGATGCAACTAGTTACTATTGTAGTACTACTTTTTCTTTGTAAGGCATCTGACTGTAGAAGGACAAGGAACAGGAGTTTGAAAAACAATGAAAGGGAAAACATCTTAAGGAGAGCATCTAGCACTGTTAAGCGCAATGCCCAAGGTCTAACATGTGATATTTACACTCACCTTCATGAGAAATACTTAGATTGTCAGGAGAGAAAATTGATTTTTGTGGGACCTGATTGGCCAGAGGATATAAAACACATGCTGCTAGCAAGAAACAGGATTCGCAAATTGAAGAATAATATGTTTTCCAAGTATAAAGCACTGAAAAGTCTAGATTTACAACAGAATGATATATCAAAAATTGAGAGCGAGGCTTTTTTTGGTTTGAATAAACTTACCACACTTTTACTTCAGCATAACCAAATTAAGAGTTTATCTGAAGAGATTTTTATTTATACACCCAGTCTAAACTACCTACGCCTTTATGATAATCCCTGGCATTGCAACTGTGAACTAGAAACCCTTGTTACAATGCTACAGGTTCCAACAAACAGAAATTTGGGAAATTATGCCAAGTGTGTGCATCCAATAGAACTGAAAAATCAAAAGCTAAAGCAGATAAAAGCTGATCAGCTATGTAGTGAAGAGGACAGGCAGGACCCCAGAAACATAAAACGGGAGAAGCCCGAACCTGTCAAACCAGAATTTGATTCCTCTTTGTGCCACATGTATGTGTTTCCTGTACCAACTCTGAACTGCAAAAGAAAAGGTTTGTATCTATCATTATAGCTGAATTAATGATTTTAATATTCTTGTTCCCTTACCACATTTATTTACATATTATGTACTGCAAATGAATATAGTACTAGTACTCGCTTTACTTAAATTGATACTTTCAATTGTTTTTCTCTCATAATTAGTAGCAATTAGTAGGAATTCTTTCTGCATTTTATCTCTGTTCTGCAGCCCCAATTCCACAGATATTCCTTAGTGCTCTAGTATAAGATAGCTAACAAAAATCAACCAGAATAAACCTGAGAATATTGCTTAAGTTACTGAAGGACTAGCACCTTAGCAGTCTGATTTACAACTATAAACATACTCATCAGACAAATTAAAGCTGTGCTGAAACTGCTGAACTGATAGAGAAAAGCACAGGGAGTCTTTTCTTCTTTCCAGTGTACAAGCACAAAAATAGCAATAACTTTGCCAGAAGTGAACTGTGAAGCAGGGCTGGGGCAGCCAGCTGTGCTTGCAATGCCCAAAGGAACCTGATTGCAAGGGAAAGCCATTGCATCCTCACATTTGCTGTGCAAGATTTCTTCTACTAAGTGAAGAAATTGTGTGCTTGTGTTCACAAAGAAATACCTCCCCTGTGTTCTTCTTCCCAACACGCAGCAAACAATGCAAAGTTGAAGGGCCTTCAAGAAATGTTTTTCAGACACTTGGATCCATTCCATTCCTAAATCCTTCTCAGGCTCCTAAAAGCCACAGTTAAGCCTTAAGGGTAAACCAGATGGGGTATATATCAAAACAAAAGTGCACATCTATCTGTGCTTTATATTTCCCATATTTTATCCCATGATGAAACAAAGCAAACAACAAAACAATTCAGAAGAGAATCATTCTTTAACATAACAATTCTGAAATAAGAAGCATTACTGGAAGCAGCCAGCATTGTGAGGATTTTTTCCCAACTTTTTCAAAGCTTAGCCTGCAATACCAGATCACCGCAGTATGTTTTGAACAATTAAACTTCTATTTGCTTTAAGAGTGACTTAATTTTATGTAAAAACCTCAGTGTGCCCTTACTCTTGCACCTTAATGCCAGGGACAAGCTCAGAGTGCAGTATGAGGAGATAATCAGGAATTCACAATTTCAGTATTTGATTACCGTTAAAAATGGTCCATGGTTTTTTCTTTTTTCCGTGCTGTTGAATTCCTTTCTTCTCCCTATGGCTCACTTTCCTCTTTGTTTTACCATGCAGCTGCTACATCTTTTTTGTTAATGATTTTGCTGCTTTACTGGCTAACATTTATTAATTTTTTAATGTTCACCTACCTTATCGTTCTTTGTAGGTAGGATCTTAATTATTAGATTAAAGAGTATGGTCTTAATTATCCTTCATAGGATCTTAATTATATCATTATTACTTTATGTCTTCAGTAAACTGTGCCATTGAACAAAAACCAGGCATATATTATAATCTTAATATAAGAAAAGATTGACTTTACAGCTCTCCCCATTTAGTGGTATCAAAGAGCTGAGCTGAATATATAAATATACTCAGAAACTTTTGGCACAAAAAATATTACTTTTTTTCTCTAAGTTCATAGAAACATTTGATGTAGTCTGATCTTTGTGGGAGTTTCACAGGGGTTTAGGGTATTTAAAAAATGGTTTATTGTCTTTGGTCCTAATAATGGAGAAATAAAATTACTTCAGACTCTACATGAGTGTACTAGAGGGTACAGGGACTCCCTCCTTCAGGTCAAGAACTAAATATATCAGTCCAGAATTTCCTGAATGTTTAGCATGGACACAGTGAGTATGTTCCAATATTTTTTAGGAAGTACCAGATCTACTGTGCATATGCTTAACAGCTGGATGCAGATATCCCATGGATATTTGGCATTTCTGAACATATGGTAATCTTTGATGAAAGCATTGTACTTACTGTCTTTGTATATGATTACTGTACAGCAGATGCACAATTTCATTGGCATTTTCATCAGGAATTGGAGTATAATGCACACAAAATCCCAGGAAAACACAAAAATTTCTCTAAATCTGCATGGACAAGATTTCAGAGTAGAAAAAATGGTGCATCCGTTGCCAAACCAGTAAGATGACATGAAAAGCTGCAATCCATTATTGCTTTACTATGGAGTGGATGCAAAGACAAGCAGTGTACCAGAGTATGAATATCTCTAAAGTGGTATGACAACAGGTCATACCTGAGCTTTCAGTTTATGCCAGAAAGCTTATGAAAGAATCATCTTAAAAAATACATTTAACCACGTGTATGTTCTCTTTTTTGAATTATTTGCTTATATCTCACCAGATCAGTGACATGCCAGACCTCTCAGTACTCCAGAATGAAATACCCTATGCCCTTGATTCTGTTTTACAAATAAAAAGAAATAAAAACATTTGGAAGCAAAAGCAATTTCTGTTTGCTTTTCTGCAAAGAATTTGTATTTACAAGAACAGTTAAAAAAACTCTGCTTTCTAGTACTGCCAAGTCCTCCAAGTCTCTAAATTTAAGCATTATTTGCTTTCATTTGGTGACAAATAGGCCCTGAAACTTTGACATCTGCACAAGCAGGAAGTCATCCAACCACAGCAGGCTGGAGTAATTATAATATTTGTGTATTTATAATACCAAAGCTCTGCTTATAATCAGATAAAAGAAAGGAAGACTCTGATATGTTGCTTTAGTCTCAAAAATACCTGATTCATCAGACATCTCCAGAACATCAGAAGTACTGTGACCACACAAATTTCAGTACAGATCAGAAACTACTTGCTTTCATTCAAAGATGGTGAAATAAGAGATATTGCTCATTTTTCTGTAATGACAGTGCAGAATTAGAACTCTCATTGAGTAAATATAATCCTAGAGATTTGGTTTATTAACATTACCCTGAGAGGATTCAAACCACAGTCTGCACTTCTCAAGCATGTGCCCTGACTACTGGACTAGGAGCTATTCTTTCTGGAACTCTTTTGCAAGGAACACTGTAAGGATATGAACACAGATGACTAAGAGCTCCATGGCTACTTTGGTTACAAATGATACAATTAGGATAGAGAAGTAGACAGAATGCCACTATGCTGCCTGGATGGATTTTTATATAGTTACTCTGGTTTCTTTTCTTTAAATGAGCAAGCCCTTCACACACACTTTTTGTTAGTATAGTATCTTCAGTATCTACTCTATCCCTATGTGAATGGTCTAGTTCTACTAAAATAAAGATATAAAACACAGAAAGAGCCTTTACTTTGCCTTCACTATAAGAGAATAATTTCCACATGTAAACAAAAATTAAATTTAGAAGTTGAAAAAATATGGTGACACTAGTAGAGGGAATAAAAGGGAAAGAAAACACAAAACAGTGCTAGACTGACAAAACTCTGTCTGGCATGCAACTGTGATAGCTATGCAGTAAGAATAATCTAAAGCTGATAAAAAGCTATGTCTTTTTCATTTTCTAAGATTTAAAGAAAGTTCCAGGTAACATACCTCCAGATATAGCTAAACTTGATTTGTCCAACAACAAAATAAGACAACTACGAGCCAAAGAGTTTGAAGATGTCAGTGAACTGAAGATATTAAACCTAAACAGCAATGGAATAGCTTACATTGATCCTGGTAAGAACAATTTTAAATATTCATTAAAAAGTGATTTCTATTTTATTAATTATAAACTTTGATCATGTCTCTATCAGATATAAACATGGGGGGAAACAGATTAAAAATCTAGAGGCCAAAAAAAAGTAATAACTGGGTAATTATGAAAATGTTTTCCTGTAGTAGATAATGCATGTTTTTCCCATCAGAGATATGCATGTTTTTTTCTAAGCTATCTTCATAAGGTACCAATAACTATTTTTCTATTGACTAGCTGCTTTCTCAGGCCTCAACAACTTAGAGGAGCTGGATCTATCAAACAACAGCTTGCAGAATTTTGAATATGGAGTACTGGAAGATCTTTACTTTCTGAAAGTACTGTGGCTGAGAGAGAATCCTTGGAGATGTGATTACAACATCCATTATCTTTTTTACTGGCTGAAGCATCACTACAATGTTCACTACAATGGCCTAGAATGCAAAATGCCTGAGGAATATAAAGGATGGTCTGTTGGAAAATATGTTCGAAGTTATTATGAGGAGTGCCCAAAAGACAAGCTTCCCATTTATCCAGAAACTTTTGATCTGGACAAAGATGATGAAGAATGGGAGCGACACAAAGAGCAAACAGTTCAAACAGTAAAGAAGCACGGTGTAATTGTCACTGTGATAGGCTAATAAGGGAACTCTTTTTTTTAAATTACATTTAAATATCTGATACTCTGAAAAAGAAAAACATGCTGTTTACATTTTTTGCTAATTATACTGATTGTTTGTAAGACTATCTGCCTTCAAAGATTTCTGTGTATTGCAGATAATAACTACAGAATGGCATTAGTTATCCAGCATCCTTAATCCAGTAATTGTTTCTGATGATTTGTTCTGGACACTCTTGTGAAACATTTTTGGTAAATATTTGAAACTATGCAGCAGAAATCGATAGACAAAAATGTACATAATGTGATGGGGAGGAGCTATCCTATGTATGAACACATCTTATGTGTTCACACAGAAACAGCTGCAGGATTGTGACCAAGACACCTTTTTCTCGAATGTATTGACAGTTCTTTGTATCTATCAGTTTCCTGAAATATTCCCAGAAAGCATTTCTAAGATTTTTGTATTGACTTCCTCTTGTTTCATTGTATATCAAAAAAACCAAACTGAAGACTAACCTTAAATACAATTCTAGAAAAACAGGAATGGCAGTTGTTATACTGATTAAGATTCAAACACAGAAGGTGGGTTCTACTTACTGATTTACCAGTGTTCCTGCTCAGTCTTGAGTGAATAACTCAGCCTCTTCTGCACCTGAGTTGCCTTAAAGCCATGAGTAGCCAAGACATGGTTGGTTCCCAAACTCCAGTTCCACATGTTCATAATTGCCTTGTTTGGGTTTTGAGGTAGGTAGAGCTGAAATCTTTCTAGGAAGAATTTTAGGTTGTCATATCAGTTTGACACAGATTACATGACATCACTTCCAGGTGACAAGGATCATGTGAAGGATGCTGTGGTCTGCATCCAACACTCCAGTGCCCATCCAAACTGTATGCTTTTGAGAGCTCACTAGAAGTGAGGACATTCTCACAGGTTAGTCTAATACTCTAATACACATAACCACAGGTTACTCTAATACTACAATAATGGAGTTGTACAAAAGCCTCAGCTAGGTAGATGATATCTCTAAAGATAAAATTCCTTTCTACATAATACACTTAGGACAGTAAGAAATGCATAAGTGCAGGGTAGATATTCAGGGCCAAAACTTTAAATTTCTCTTGGCTTTAAATTTACCTTGGAAGAAGTTCTGGAAAACTCCAGGGAGAAAATTTGCTCCTTTAAAGATCTGCAGACAATTGCAGTGTTTGTGCATTCCTCTGGTGCTTTTACCACAAGCCCAAAAGGTCACACATTTTGTTTTTCAAGTGCAATACAAAGCACTCAGTGCTTTTGTGCTAACAAAAAGAACAACATAAAGGAAAAATTCAGGAGTTATTATGGGTGGTAGGAATTCCAAAGAATCTCAAAGCAAACACATCCTATTATTAACTGCATTCCTTCATGTCCCCCTTTATTCAGATTAAGAATATATTTAATGGTGCTTTACTGATAAAACTGAATAATTTAGCCATTTCTTCCACAACATCTTTCAAAAACTTTATACCAAAAATACAACAGTATCTGACTCATCCCTGTTCCTGGAAATATCTTAAGTATTATCTCAACTATTAAAGGTTAATCCTGAAAAGATGGAACAGAGAGGAAAATCCCATTTGGCCAGCTATATTCACTACATGGGGTATATTCTGGAAACTTGAAAGTGCTGAAAGTAAAAAAAAAAAATCTGGCACAAGCAGTAGCGGGCATTAAGTGAAGTAGTCCTCCTCCTCTCAGATTCTGAAGGATTATTTCAGTAGAGAAGTACTGAGATTGATTGAAAAGGACAGACAATGAAACCACAGCAGAACATCTGTTACTGGCAGCGCATTCAATGGAGAAAAGCTGAGTAGGAAAGAATGCATTTATAAACCATAATAAGTTAATTTCTGCAAAGAGTCAGTATTAGGAAAAAAAATACTAGCTTAAGGCAGGCTAAAGTCTGGGTAGAAAAGGCAATCTAGGAGAGGAATACAGGATAAAATCTGTGTGAGAGACCTGTGATCTCTGTGGTCAGCAAAAGGTACCGACTGGAAAAGCAGTGGAGTAAGACAGAGGATCAAAAGCAGTGGCCTAATTGCTGCTGTTCAAAGACCCTAATCCCCAAACAGATCATGAATGACCCTCTTGGGACCAAGGCTAAAACCTGTGGTACACAGTGACAAATAGGACAATTGTTCAGTAGAAGCCAGAGTCAGGGGAGGGGTGTGATCATTCAGGGTTCCCAGACACTGGCACCAGAAAGTGCTGCATCTGCTGAAGGTTCAAGGGGGATAATGAGCTGAACATCCTGCCTGTATCTAGCAGCACAAAATATTTGGTGACACTATTAAGTGTGAAATCTGCGAGGGAGAGACATATCAACAAGGAACATTGTTCAACAACTACCCTGCAAATAAAAGTTTCCATGTGGGCTTGTGAAATCAGTATCAGCTCCAAAGCTCCATGCAAGAGTAGATCTGATTAAGCATCTGGAAATCAACAAATGGAAAGACTTCTAGCAGTGAACAGAAAAATGGCCTGAAGTTTTGAATGCTGGAATTCTCCTTGGTACTATTTTCCTTAGATGGCCTCTGGAGCTTTCAAGGAATAGCTGGAAGTTCTGTTCTTTTAACTACAATGCACTATAATTTTATTCCTTACTGCCTTAAAACATTGCACCTTTCAGTTTTTTCAATGATACAAGAGAATTGTTATGAAATACATATAGAACTATTCACTTATAATTAAAAAAAGGTGTGTGTGCTTGGTTGAAGCTCTCCTTGAAAACCTAGCTGCAATCTGTTAGGGTTTTCTGCATGTTGGCATTTGCAGATACCCACACTGAGGACGTGGCAGAATAGACAGTAATTGCAACTGCAACTAATATAAGAACACAAAAATGGAAATATGAGATTGGGGCAAGGGTAATATAGGTTAGCATGTTCTCCTGACAGTGACTACTAGCAAATTCCTTTAGAAAAGATTGTATGAACAGGAAAAGCATATAGGAGTTAGGAAGATGATGCAGAAGGAGAGAACACAAGGAAATAGACAATAATATATTTAAAAAACACATATATGGGAGAAATGACTAACAATTGATAAAAGGTTCAGCATTATGGGGTTAACTGCTATTTCTCTGAGCTTCTTAAAAATGTACTGTAAAGTACACCCTCCATCAAACACCACATTCACAAACCACAGTTTAATGTTGACATCTCTATGTTTCTCTACTATTCACCAAAGACCCAGAAGCACTTCCATGTCTAAAAGAAACCATGGGCATTTTTCTTCCTTTATATGCTCTTTGAGTCTCTCCTTTCAGAAATCTTTTGCTTGATTCCCTTTCTTTCTCTGTCCATATCCAGGAAAAAATTGCATGATAGAATTGCATGAAGACAATTGCCTTGCCTTCCTGACATGCAGTACATGTACCAGGAGTGCTGTCCTAAGGGATAAACCACAGTGTGCCTCTCTCTCTTGATGCCTATGGATTTTTGGATTTTTAGCTTTTCATAGATTTTAAAGTAGCTGTATTATATCCCTCACCCTTTAGTACAGTAGTTTACACATTTTCCTAACACTGTTACCCCATTCCACATCACTCCCTCAAAATTCTGTTAGCTTGTTTAGACTTCCCCCAAGGTAGACCTTCATTCCATTTAAGAACATCTGCACCCTGGCCTGGACAACAAGATACCACCCAGGCACAGCGACCTTCAAGCCCAGATCTTTGGAGAAGCTCCAAGGACTGGATGTGCTGTGATGAGGAGGATGAGGAAGAGGGTGTTCCAGAGCCCCTTGCCTCAATTTCCAGAGGAGTGTGCCAGGGGGAGGTGCTGGGGGGTGGATAAATCTGGGATTGGATGGGTTAACACCTTAAATTGGGGAACCCCCTGGATGCAAGAGGCATATCATGTGTATTCCTGTGGGCCTCAGGCCTGGAATTAAAGGACCCACCCACTTTATCTTATCTTATACACTAAGTTGGCTCAGAGTCTTGTTTTCTGCTGTCTCTTAAGGCAACACTCTACACAGCCACACGAAACACAGAAAAGATTATTTTGCACCATATTTTGCCATGTCAGAGTGCAGGAAATAGATCCATCAACACTATGACCACTACTGGAACTAAAACACTTCAAAAGCTTCTGAGGAAATTTTAGCTCCTGCACTATGAATAAGGGCGACAGCATTTCGATGAAGTTCCCAGTCACACACAGAAGGCAAACAATTCTCTAAGATCACTGAGTAGGTGGAGAAATACCACAGACAGCTGAGCTATAACCCATGCATCTCATATAGTGATTCTTCTTTGGCACAGTAACACATTGATTTGCCAAAATGTCTGAGCTGGAATCATATTAACATTCACATGCAGATATTAGACAATGACTATTATTTCATGAATACACCACAGTTAGAGTACACAAAAACAATTTTTAAAAATTGCAGATAATTAATTTACAAAAAAAAAATTAATATGATTAGCCAGTTGAACATACCTAAACCACAGTTAATATAACTGATGCTTTAACACTAACAATAAATCTGTGTTGCCAAAACCTGTGCAATTTTGGATTCACTTGAAAAGATGAGGTCAGAACTGTAGCTTGGGGAAGTTCAAATGGAAAGGTTCATCACATCTGCAGCCTATAATTGAAAAGACAGTTCAACTCAGTTTGTTAGCTGAAAAAATGTCAAAAAAAGAGAATGTCAGTATGATTTTCAATCACTAAAAAAAGATAGAAAAATAGTTTTGCAGCAATCTTAAACTATACACAAGAGCTTCAAAAGAATGGCACAAGTAGGCTGTATGATAAATATCAGTGAGTTCTAACATAAAAACATATGCAATTAATCTAAATAGAAATAGTGCACTGATTTATATGTGTTCCATGCTTAAAAAGAATTACTGTGTATCTTCAAAGTTAGAGGAAACAGCTTTATAAATAATGTTTTCTAAAAGCCCCTGTAGTCTGTCACATTTGACTCATCACAATTTGTTTAAAATAGCACTGAGTAGATGCAAGTGGACGTAATCTTGATTTTGAGCCTACAGAAAACATTAATTATCAACAAAAATTGGAAAATGTATTGTTGATATGTACACAAATTGAATTTAGTGTCTGATATGTGAGAGAAATGGAAATGGATGGCAACCAACATACTGATGTTCAAATAGATATAATCAACACTAGATATGAATCAGTTAAATAATTTGACAGAAAAGGCAGTTAGTGTATAAAATTCTATCACAACTGTTCTTTACATGTTTTTAGCTCTAAACACAATAAACGTTACTATGATTTTAGTTTTGTACAAAAATACATAAGGAAAACAAGATCACAGAAGGATTTAACATTTCTAAGTACATCACCCATAAAGGATGTGATGTGGTTGGGTATGATTTATTTTTGGCTTGCTTTCTTTATTAGCTGTCAAAGTTCATTATGATATTGGATTAAATTCTTTCACTAAACAACAATGCTGATATAATTGAGAATGTTATTTTATCCTGTGATTTAAAAGCCAAGACCATGATCAAATATACTTTTTATTCTTGGTCAATTGTTCTTTTTTGTCACCAATCTAGAGAGCAAATTGTTCTCACCCATAATTACAGTCACTTTCTAAAACAAGACAAATCACACTGAAATTGTTATAGGCTGCATCAACAATTTCAATCGTGTTTTCAATCTGTTTAAATAATACTTGCATTATAGTCTCAAAACATCAAAATACACTTTTTCATTTCAAATATATAAAAAAATTTCCTTTTCTTTTTTATGCATTTGCATTTAATTAAAGCATAGGCTAGAAAAGAGTCAATCAGTAACATTCCCCTGCTACAGAAATACTGAAGTAAAACTGTGCCAGGAACCAAAAACATTTCTTGTTATCTTGCCTACCTGTAGCAGAAGAGTTTTTTTCTCATGAAAACACTACCTCGATGTTTTCCTACTCTTCATGATAAAATGGCTGAGCAAGTCAGGATGCAGGTGATTCCTAATGAATCAGTACACCTTCACAGTTAGCACTGAACCTCTCACATTGATTATAGAGGCTTTTGGTTTTCCTGCCTACTTCTCTGCTTAGTGGAGCATACAACCACACTGAAAAAAAGATTACTGACCTGAAACTATTGCAAAATGCTGTCACAAAGGGAATTAACCACTGATCACACAGTCACATGTACTTCCACACATAGTATCAGGAAGGACTGAGATGATTTTTTACATCCAGAGGGACTCTGTTTTGGCAGTGGAATCAAGTACTAATTATTTGTGCTAAAACTTGAACACCACCAGGCTGAACATGAGCCTGCCATGTGCCCTTGTCACAAAGAAGGTAGATGGTATCCTGGGCTGCATTAGGAGGAGTGTTGCCAAGAGATCTAGAAAGGTGATCTTTCCCCTCAGCACTAGTGAGGCCACACTTGGGGTACTGTGTCCAATTCTGGGCTTCCCAGTACATGAGAGGCATGGACATAGTGGAGAGAGTCCAACAGGGGGCAAAAATATGACTAAGGAGTTGGAGAGAATTTCCTGTAAGGAAAGGCTGAGAGAGCCTGTTCAGTCAGAGAAGGCTCAGGGGGCTTGTACCAAGGTGTAAAAATACATGGTGGATGGGTGCAAAGATGGAGCCAGGCTCTTCCAGTGGGGCCAAGTGACAGAGGAGACAAAAGACAATGGGCACATACTGAAACCACAGAAGATGCCATCTAAACACCAGGGAACACTTTTATACCATGAGGGTGACTGAGCACAGGTTGGAGTCTCTGTCCTTGGAAGATATTTGAAAGCTGTCTGGCCACAGTCCGGGGCAACCAATTCTAGGTGTGCCTGCTTGAGCCAGGGGCTGGACCAGATACCTCCAGAGATCCCCGCCAACCCCAACCATTCTGTGATTCTATGATAATTATCAGGAGAGTTGGATCTGTCATTCTGTTATATTAAAGCACATGTTTGCAATCCAATCTTATTTGTCATATGACAGCATTTCACACATAATATAAACCATTCCATGGCATTCTAGCAATGTTCAGTCATATGGATACGGCTGGGCCTGAAGACTGGAATGAAGGAAGGAGGGCTGCATTTAAAGTAGTTTTACAGATCTCATACATCACTTCATTATGGCTGGACATACAGAGAAAAATATAGGCAACAAAATGGGACAATGGAGAAGCATGGAGGGAAGACAGTTTGAAGAGAGAATTATAATTTAAAAGTAAAAGAAGTAATATTTAACTGACACTTTAAAGCTAGTCCAGCAAAGAGAATAGCAACCTCAAAGATTCACACATAACACATATGGATGACATTTCTGCATAATATTTACTACATGTTTATATACTAAAATGTCCCATGTCCATAACCATTTGCAGTACTGAATGACTACTTCATATGCAGAAATATAAAAATCTGATATGTAACACTTAAAACGTGCAGTTCTAAGTATGAAGAAGAAACTAGAAAGAACACAGTTAATAAAATCCCATGTCATTTTTCCTAAAGCACTTTTATATGAGAAGTTTTATGCTTCTAATGTAATTACTTTTGTAACAGTACAATAATACATCAATGGCAACAGTTTAAACTTGGTATAGTAACCAGCTGATAGCAAAAATACAAAAAAACTTTATATTATAATTTTATTCTATATCCTGTCACTGAAGAGATTTTTTTCTTAATAATATACATTTTCAAAGAATTTTCACTTAAGATATGTATGTTAATAGTAAGATGTCAGCATGAAAACAGAGAAAAATTCCACTGTGGTTTATAGAAGAGTATTCCCATATTAGCTATGCAGCCTTCCATACAATAATGCACACAATAAAACCTGGGTTTCATTATAGCAGTATATCAAGTATGATTTGAAATATGCTCCAGAAAAATGATTGCATGCTCTGTACAGGGGGCACTCAAACTGCACAATTTTGAGTCAAATAGAGGCTTTGAGACTCAAATGAGTGTTGTACACAGAAGCAATACACATAAAGCCTTTCTAAAAGTAAAGAAATAATTGCTAATTTTGTTTCACTTCTGGAAATCAAGATAGCTAAGAAGCAAAGTGACAGTGACTACCTGTCTGAGTGTAGAGTGCATGGATTACTGAAGTGTAGATTACATTGGTTATACCAAAATATACTTCATAGTAAATGAGTCACTAAAAATTGTTAGAATCAAAAAGGGGTGTTCTTTAAGAGAAACTTTTTATTCTGATTTATATTCTGTGCAGTTCTACTGAAATGAACTGAACTGAAAAACACTGTCAACTAGAACCCACTTCTATCACAGAGATCAAGCTCAATTAAACAAAACACGCACAAATCAAGAGTATTCTACTGAGATTTAAAACGATTTTCTGCTTCAACCTATAGAAACTATCAAAAGGCCATAATTCATTAGCTAGAAAAGGACAAATCAGGTAGGGAAATAGCTAATAATGTGTCTTTTCCCACTATCATTTAAGCACATAGGTAATACATTCAGGTAATTTGCCTGCTCCCAAAATATGGTGCTGTCCAACAAGCTATCTCTGTTCATTTCATATAAACTACTCAAAACAACTTTAAAAATCAGGTTTTCTAGCTTTATGGTCTTATTCTGGAATCTTGGGAGCTTGCTATAGCCATACTCATTTTAAAGATATTTAGGTGGTTCAGAATGCAGTTGGGGACTTACAAAGACCTTTTAAGGTGCAGAAATGTGTAGGCCCTCTTCAATAGCAGATTCTTCCTGTACATCCCTTCATCCATGACCATTATAGTTCGATCCATCACAGACTTCTCTAATCAAAAGTCTGTTTAATTCGGACATGTGGATTATTTCCTTAACTTCAAAACTCAACCCAATTTAAAACTCAGTGTCAAGACCACAGCAGTCACCTCTAATACATAGCAATCATTTTCTGTCAACAACTCAACATCAGAGTACTGTGGTACCAATGACTTTTTTAGGAAACTATAATTTCCAAAGCAAATGGTTTCCAGCTGGCCCTGAGGACAGATCTTGTCCAGCTGTAAATACAAACTGGTAGATATTTTTTTCTGCACAAGAGAAGAACAGAAAGCTGCAATAAATGATAGCATACTAAAAATTATATTTACTAAATACCCTGTGATTTTGAAATGAACCACCATGAATACAATCCACAGTGCCAGAGACAATAAAAGATCCCTATCATAGGTTCTAGAACTTTGAGAAGCCCAGGCATGCTTTATTTTCCACAGTCTTGCTCAGAGCAAACACGGATTTGGCCTGGAGGAGACAACACCCAGTAACAATCCCCTGTGGAAGAAGTATCTACATACTAGATTCACCAAAAAGAGAACATTAAGATTCACAGAGGGAGAGAAAGGAAGAGAGAAAGTAACAGAAAACAGAAGAGAGAAGGAGCTCTGCCTTTCTGCAGCAGACGGTTAGGTGCTCAGCTAGAGCAAACCTCTGGTCAGTCTTCTAAACAGGAGAGCTCTTTCTGCAACTCCCATATTGAATAAATTAGTGACAGCTCAAGAAAAAGAAACTAGGTGACAGCCACACAGATTTGTAATTCTCTCTGGATCAAGGCAGCTGCAATCTTTTCAAATTCAAAATGGAAGTATTTCATTAGGCTTTCTGCTTTTCTGTAATAATTTTTGTTCCCTCTGTACTTCACACATAAATAAAGCCATTTTTTTCTAGCTTGCCTCAAAGTTCCACAGACCTAGCTTCCAGCCCACAAATGTATTAACTTGCATGATTTATCACACACAGACAAAATACTTGCAAAAATACTTTCAGCACAGCTGGCTTAGCCTGTTCTCTTTTTGTGTGTCCTGAAGGAGACCCTACAGAAGGCACTCCCCAGCCCTGATTGCTTCCATGCACCCCTCCCCAAAACCCTGCACTATTGCTGTTGTCTTCTGGTTGATACCAGTTCCTAACCCTCTGTATCCTAAAAATTCATTTGCTCTTTATTAGTAATGTGAGTTCTTCTGACCCATTAGGCTTATTATGAATTACAGTCATTGGTGCTTTGATTCTGCATTTTAAAATTAATCCATGCCAACTCATCTGCCCCATATTATCCAGATATCCAGAAAATACTGGCAGGGGATTCATGCACTGCCTGAACTTTAAGCTGGAGGCCTCTCTGGTCTAGCCTTGTCCAAGATATCCCAGGGCATGCTGAATTACACCAGATACCTATCTTTTAGGTGACTTTTTGCACCAAAAATGTCTACAGAATTGTATACAATACAAACATACACAATTAAAAAATGACTCAGTTATATGCACTCTAATCTAATTATGGAAGTCAAACCAATCATTGCAACTGCTATTAAGAATGAAAACAATTTAAGACTATTATTCCCTAAGAATGCCCTGATACTCACCAGAAACAGGACATCTGTAGTGAACTCAATCTAGCCAGACTAAAATTTTAAGTATTTTAAGATACCAGCCTGTCTTCTGACTTTTTTGTTTTGATCTTTACTCCACCTCCACTTCCCATCATGCATTCCCTCTACCTGAAGCTAGGACTACAAGTCTGTGATCCCTCGTGTTTTATCCCTATCACTGTACTTTTCATTTCCCAGAAAAAGCATCCCAACTCATTTCACCCTGTATTTCTGACATACGTACACTCCATTTCCCTAACACCTCCCAAGCCAGTTTTGCCTTAGCATCACTGCTCAGTCTTCAGAGAAGAGTACCAGCACCATCTGTCCTAGCAAAGAATACAGGGACCTGCCTCTCCTGGCACTCATGAGAACAAGTTGCCACAGCTCAACTAATGAATGGCATCCTGCAAAAAGAGAGCTACATAAATTATTGGACCAAGCATACTTAATTTATATATCATAATTTTCTATTATATAATATGTATTTTTTGCTATGCAGAGCAGCTACATAGACTTACGTGTCTTTTTTTCCTTGTGAATCTGCACCCACATTTTCCACTGCTGCATAATAACTCTTAATATTTGGACATAATAATGGTCTTATGCTAGAGCCATCTTCCACTTTGGCTTTTTTCTTTTTCTTCTAAAAATGTAAGTGGATCTTCTGGATGTGCAACAAATACATTACAAAGCAGCACCTGCAAAAAGAAACTGCAAATTAACACCTTTGTATTAACAGCAAAGTAGCACCTAGTTATGAAACTAGTTAAAATAAGCAGAAATTTACCAGCATCTTTTAAAATACTGCAAAATAGAGGTATTTCTTTTTATCACTTGCCTTCCCTTTCATTCAATTTTTAAAGGTAATATTGCATGTATCATATTTCAATTGCTAGACTACAAAGCACTGGTTTTAGGATAGTAAAAAAATATGTGGCATTTCTTTAACAATTCCTACTAAGAATTTCATTGCTTTTAACATGCACTAAAGAAAAAATACATAGAAGATTAGATAATTTTATTTACTTAATGAAAACCAGAATATAATACAAGTTTAATACTGTGTAGTAAAGAACATGTTGAATGGGAATTGAATTGAAAACAAAATGCAGCTTAAAAAATATTTGCTTTTCAGGGTTATCATACAACTTTGCATTATCTTTTAGTAATAATTCAAAATAACCAACGAACCATTTTTCTCATTTGTCCTTTAGCTGTCTTCAGCTAAAGAACATGGATCATTTACTTTTGGACTTCAAGCTCACATACAGCAAGAAAATCCAAAGTATATTGATTGCTTAAAGTATATGGACAAACTGCAGTTATTTAAGGGAATATTTAAAGGAAACTATAAATTGGAAGTTCTTGCGCCTGGTAAAAATTTCAAAACATGACATGCAATACTACTTCCCTTTCAAGACATGGCCTCTTGCTGTTACTGAATTAATTTGGAGCATGTGCTTGAATCCTTTTCAGGAAGCATGGTGGGAGGACAGAAGTTGTGGATGCCCCACTACTGGAAGTGTTCAAAATCAGGCTGGATGGGACTTTGAGCAAACTGATGGAGTGAAAGGTGTTCCTGCCCACAGCGAGGTGGTTGGACTAGATGATCTTTGAAGGTTTCTTCCAACCCAAACCATTCAATGATTCTATGCACCTGAGTTAAGACCAATACGAAAAGGTGAAGAAAATTATTCATTTGTGCACAGACAAAGCGAAAGGCCACTGTCTTCAGTTCAGACACCTTGAATATTTACAATAGTGACCAACACACTGATTCCAGCTTTAGCATCTCTTCAATGTTCTCAACAAAAATGTAATTTGCCAGGTATATCTTGATGGTTGACTACATTAAGAAAATATTATAAATCCATCCCTTATCATTGTAGTTCTTGACATGTAATATCTTTTTAAATAATGGACAGCTAAATGGCTTTCATCACAAATTTTCCTATAGACAGATTTCCCAAAGCTAATCCCAGTGTTGGTCAGCTACTCCCTCTGCTGGATTAAGCCACAACGTGTCTGCCATACCTATGCCATTTTTTAATTCAAGGGTTTTTTGCCTTTATTTCCCTTCTTTTTCAAACAAACACAGACAACTTCTTCTCCTTTTGATGTTCTGAAAGGTTTCCAACACAAGAAATCGAAACTATACAGCCATATACTGGATTGCAATTCCTCTGTTTAACATTTTAGAATGTTAATTACTTGATTAAGGAAGGAATTTTAACACCTGATCTTGCAATCCTCATTCAGGTACTCTTCAGTGTTGCTTGGACAACATGTAAAATTTTGAACAACTATATCCATTATGCCAAACAATTATGCCTGTACAAGTCTGGCTACTTCTATCAGACTTCTAAAAGGCTCTCAACGATGTGAAGGAGTCCATTATCAGAATTTCTCACCCATTTTTCTTCCTACCACTTTAGCCATTTACACACTTCATGGCAAAATTAATTTGGATCACACAGTAGAAGATAAAAACCTCTGCATCCATATTTAATTCTAACATTTTAAGAATATGTCTACTTACAACAGTGAAGGTTGTCTTACACAGAGTGTTTGCAGGATTACAGTTTGCCTGACTTCTAACGAATACTGTTTAAAAGTAACTTTGGAGGAGACTGAAAGGCAGGAAGGAAATGCTCAGATGCAGTAGGGAATCCTAAATTATTTGGACAAGATTACTTGGACTCCAATTGTGTTTGGACCATGTCCAAACCACAACCTCCTCATAAAAAGACTTAAGCAAATGGCCATCTTAGAACTCTATATCCTTAATTTTGAGAATATGTGTATAAATGTTCAAGGGGCTCATCTCGGCTTTGATGTTCCTTAATACAAGGACCAGTATCATCTCATTTATCTTCACACCATGCATACTGTAACTTCCTAAAGAAATTAAAATATAATAAAATTAAACCAGAAACATGGTTGGATATCAGCAAGCACCAACCTCTAAGAAAGAAGAAAAAAAAAAGATAAAAAAACCTTACACAGGGTAAATTTTAACTGGTTCTTTCTATTAAGAAACTTACTTAAATCTTATCCTTAACTCTTTCATTTTTAATTCATTAACTTAGGTACACTGCTGCTATAATGCTGTGTATAGCTATAATAGCTATAATGCTGTGTATAGCTATACTAGCTATAACTTTTGCTTGGAAAGGTAGACATGAGCTATTTTTGAAGTGCTGAATCAAGAACTACACCTCATGCAGACATATATTTTGTTTTTCTGTGCTTAAAAAACAAAGAATTATCTAGAGACAGACTCTCAGGAGAGGTACTCGGTCTGCATGGTAGTACTGCTCTCTAATTATTTGAATTGGCTCCAGATTTCTTTATTAATGTTTCCATGGAAATCTTGGCTGTAATAGCTGCTTGCAAATGAGGTCTATTTTGGTAACTTAAAAGTATCAGGATGTCTCTTAATCTTGTACTTGTGCATTGTGCTTTTCTTTGTTTGAAGGAAACTGAAAAACAGCTGCTGCAGATTTGGAAACAGGCAGAGATGAATGTGTCAAATGAGGAGGAAACCAACAGAATACAGAGAATCACGTTAAAAATCCCAAGGGTAAACCCATCAACTCTGTTTCCCCCACAGTCCTTCATGTTGTGCCAGTTTCTAACATTTCATGGAAGGTTATTTACTCCTGTGCCAACAAAAATACCTAATCCACCAGTACCTGAAGCGTGGTCCAGCCCCACCTTTATCTTTGACAGGCCATCAAAAACCACGGATTGCACCCACAGCACTCAAAGAGGAGGGAATTATCTGCTCGAAACCTAGAGGTGCTTCTGTCATTAACACTGAAGAACTTAAGCGTATCAAGTAAGGTGCCACTGCAGTTCACTGGGTTTGCCTTAATTTCAATCCTCGTTTAATACGTTTAAACACGTACTAAAAAGCAGAACGGCCTTGCTCCATCTTGTTTCCATTTTTAAAGTTCTCATAAATTGTTCGAGTCAGGCTACTGACCAAAGCAGCAGAACAAAAACAGGCCCTAGGCCAGCAGAGGGCGGTGTTAAGGGGTGTGAGATGCCCTGGCCAGCGCCGAGGGGTACAACGAGGACTCTGCTGAGGGGCCAGGGGGACCTTCCATGGGGATGGCGGGGCGGGCGCCTCCCTCCCACGGATGCTACCGGGGGAGTTTGTGGTCCCACCGGCTCCATGGGGGACCAGGCTGGACAACCAGCGGGTGGTGGGGTCCAGAGGCGGCGGAGGGCGCTGACTGCCCCACCTCTGGGGACGATGTCCCCCCGCGGGGGCTGCCATGGCGCAGGACCGCCCTTGCCTCGGGGCCGGCCTGGGGGCGCGGGTGATTCCTTCCTCTGGAAAAAAACTGCGCAGCGTTGTGAGGGCCGAGCCTGCCCGCGTCCCGCACGCGGAGCTGCCGGCTCAGCATCCCCCCGGCCGCCCGGGGGAAGAGAAGGCAGATCCGGGGCACATCGCCGGCCGAGCGGCGGCCGGATGGGGCGGTGTCTTCCGCGGGCGGTGCAGCCGCGGCCGGGCGATGGGGGCCCGCGGGGAGCGGCGCTGAGGGCGGCGGCGGCCGCGCTGCTCGGGCCGGCGCCTGCTACTGCCTGTGGCGGCTGACGCGGGCGGGCGGCGGGGCGGGGGCCGTGCGGGGCCGCCGGCAGGTGAGGGGCAGGGCAGGGCGGGGCAGGGCAGGGCAAGGCTGTCCCACACCCCGCGGTGTGCGGTGAGGGCGGCGGAGGCTCCGCGGCCCGGGGGGTTCCCAGCCCGCGCCGCTGCTCGGGGCGGATTCCGCGCCCTGCGGGAGGCGGTGCCTCAGCGCTGCTCGCCGGCCCTCCGAACAGCAGTGCGGCGCTTCGGAGGACTCTGGAGCGTAGCTTATTTTTAGAAAAGTCTAATTTTTGTTGGGTTTTGTTTGGTTGGTTTTTTGGTTTGTTTGGGTTTTTTTTCAAGTCCCCTAAAGCGTGCGTCTGATCACTGTATTTACATAATGGGCTGATTTGCTCTTATGTTATTAAAGCTATTTGTGTTCCCCCTATAATTCAAAGTTAAAGTGTTTAAGACGAGGATGAGGGTGAAAACCGATCTTGTTTTTGAAGTGAGCTCTTGGATTATCATCATTAACTTTGACCTTTTTTTTTTTAAAACCCCCAAAGAATACTGTGGTGTTTGCCTGGTGAGATGGTGGCAGCAGGTGGAATTTGAAGGACCGGTTAGCTTCTCAGGAGACATCTCAAGCCAGCTATGACTAGTCCAGCAGTCATAGATCAGGTCTCCAGGTTCTTCAGCTTAGCTAAATAGTTCTGCCTCCTACTGGGTGAAAATGGGCTTTGATGGCATTTGTGTCACCCTTTTATGAGAGCCAGGTGCTCCATAACATCTTCCTGACTCAGAAACAGCCTTCCTCAGTTGTTTAAGTGATGCCACGACCAGCAGTATTCTTAACATTGCGGCTGTTACTTTGTCGAAGGACCTCAGGGTACTAGCAAAATTGTCATTATTATAATTTCTTGAAGTAGTAGTCTGCAAATCAGAAGTTTTGTTTTCCTACAGTGCCCAGACAGATTTCCACATTTCATTTCATAAGCCACTAGGAAAACAAAAACCCAAACATGTTTGGTGAATATTCCTAATAATTTTTAATGGGAGGTTTGCTGTTCATTAGCCAGAGAGTAACGTACCTCAGGCTCTAATTGTGCGCTCCTTTTATTCTCTACTTTAAAAAAAGAGGTAATTAGAGGACTCAGTGAAAAAGGATGGAAAGCTTGCTGTTGTAAAACACAGTCTTTTTACCATGACATTCTGCTTGGGTACAATCAAACCTAGAAAAATGTGTCCTGCAACTGAGAGCTAAATTTCAGCTTTGTAAAAAACACTAAGGGTAACTAAGTGAAATGTCTCAAACTTGGTATCAAGTATTTCATTTTTCAACACTGACAGACAGCAGTCCTCCAGTGTCAACCCATGGCATGGATGCAGATGCTCTACAGAAACTGATTCATTTGCTCCAGGCCACAGATGATCCATTAATTCAAGAGCAAGCTTTAATCACTCTCAGCAACAGTGCTGCCTTCTCTGTAAATCAAGTAAGTATTGTTCTGTAGAAAACAACATGTCCAATGCCAGCCAGTCTGGCAGATGAGAGGTGCTGTTTTGCTGAAGTGACACAGGACAGAAAGCCACGATAGCTTGTGCTCTAAAATCCATTTTATGTCTATGCCTTAATTTCTGCTAGCCCAAATAATATAATTTACCAGCTTCACAGAATTCATCAAAGCGTAATGTTTGGACAACCTAAAGTCCTTACAGAGTTCTCCATTTGAAAGTGCTGTAAATATACTTTTTTTTTTGCTTACAGTTATGTAATGTTAGTGAAAGGGTTGAATTGGAGGTTAACTGCTTTCAGTTTCATATCTGCAATTTACTGAGATAAACTAATTTTTTATTCTCACAAAGTTTTATGCTGTTTGTATATTAGTAATTTTCCAACTATCCAGGTATCTTCCAATCAATTGGACATAGGATGCAGAAAAACTTTGAGCTGGATGCAGATTTTCATGTCTTTGTAAAAGTTTAACCTCCAAGGTCCCACTCTTATTTTTTTTTATTTTGTATGGTACTTATAACAGCTGTTTCTTTTGGCTTCTCAAAACTGTTTTCTTAATATAAATCTGATAGAACAGATTGTAACTGAAGCCCAAGGCCCATTGGCCCATTCTTCATTTTCTTGAAAACAGTATATTTTTTTTTCACTGACAGTTAGAGTCTAAGTGAGAAAGATTAAAACTATTCAAATCAAGTGTAATGGAAATTAAAAAGTTTCAGAACTTCTATCATAATATGAAGCTGCATCTTGAAATTCTGTTCTGTTCAGTCAAGACTTTTAGGTACTGTGACCTGGCTCAGCTGTTCTATAAAGTCATTATGCAATAACTTTCTTTGATTCTTTATAATCTAAAATGCTTTAAGCATGCTTTGCAGGCCAGATTTTAAAAGTAAAGGCGTTGTGCCATTGTCTAGTAACATCAAATAATACTTTGTCCCTAAGCAGGACCATTCTTAATTTCAGGGGAGGCAATAAAACAGTATCTGCCAACTGTCTCTCTTTAAACAGACCACCAGTCTGTCCTGGAAGTCTTCATTCACACATATAATTTTTGTTAAAATGGAAACTTTGAGAAAAGCCTTCAGCATTTAATTTAAAGTTTTAAAAACTGTATTAAATATCTTTTATATTTCAGGATTTAATCCGAAGTTTGGATGGCCTTTCTGTTATTGGAGGGATGCTCTCTGACTGCGTTCCCAAAGTTAAAGAAAAAGCACTAAATGCGCTTAATAATTTGAGTATGAATATTAAAAATCAGGAAAAGATACAGGTAAGTTTCTTAAAAGGAAAAAACAAAGTAACCAAGGCACAGGAGATAGTACAGGACTTTCAGCATGTTTGTTAAAGACAAGCCAGGATGCCAAAATGTTTTGATGAGAGGCATACGAGTCAGCAGATTGGATGATCTGTGCATCCCAAGAGTGAAAAGATAACTTTGAAATTAATTCCTTCACTGGCACTTACTTTTATTTTAAAAGACAGGAAACTAGGCAGCTCGTGTTCAGCTTTCACCAAATGTTATTAAACAGAGATTGTGCTGCTAAGTTTATAGTGGAATTATGTGAGGCAAGATGATTTCCAAACATCCCAAGAACAGCAGCAGTGGTTGTTTAATACAATGGATTGCAGACTGAACTTGGCAGGACTCAGGCAAGGGAGAAGAAAACAGTAATTGAGCCCCCTGGGTTTGTGTGAGACCAATTTTTCAGGTGATATTTTCATCTTTAAAGAACAATGTGTATACATGAATGCCAAGTTCCACTTGTAAATATAGTGGATGCCGTGGAAATAAAGGGACTAAGCATCAAGAAAAAACCCTACTTTTTGTCATTATCAGATTAATCAATAGATCAAGAAGTGTCCAGGCAGAGAGCTGAGGCAGATTTGAAGACTTTCTTTTTTTTTTTCAGTAGCTTGATAAAAAGGCAGCATGATTGTATGTGGTAGTTTGCAGGATCTTTAGCAATGGACAACTTTTATTACATACATTTTACAGACATAGTGCTTGCCAATATTTGTATAGGTAGAAAATAACTCCTTTGGTAAAGGCAAAGTAACTTTTTTCTTAGTTAGGACTCCGAGATTTATTGTATATTGTCATCCAAGAGAAAATTTAGTAAAAATAGTTGTTAATGTCAGTTATCATCACTGTTCCTACAGAGTGCTCCAGTAAATGAGCCACATGATTGGAAGAAAGGATTTCATTCCAAGGCTTGTCCTTAGCTTGTTCTCAACATTGAAGATATTAGTCGCTATAAGTGATTTTCTTTAAATAACTCCTTAAAGCAACTGTGCCACTTCTGAGATGGAGTGAAAGCAATTTAGGTTTTCAGAGCAATTTATGCTTCAGAAAGGTTAGTGGGCTCTGTCTGCTTCTGTCCTGCCAACAGAATGTTTGAATGTATTTAAACCTAAAAACTACTTGTTTATAAGATCCTTCACCATGCTATATATTCAGCCAGCAAAGTTCAGGAGGTATTTATGCAACTGTAGGTAGGCCACAGATACTATTTGTGAACAGAAAATATGCTTGTATCAAAAACTGTCTTTTCTGCATCTCCTTCCCCTTTTCCCCAGGTGTATATTACACAAGTTTGTAGGATCGTTGAGTCAGCTCCCCTCAACTCTGATCTGCAGCTAGCTGGACTCAGGCTGTTGACAAATATGTCTGTTACCAATGACTACCATCAAGAGATGATAAACTCAATTCCATGCTTTCTTCATTTGCTTTCAGAAGGAACTGAAAGGACACAGGTACTGAGAGGTGTTATTGTTACGAGCCATTTATGAAGCTGCTTTACTTGCCTCCTTTTTTATTGTTTTTGTAAAAGAGTCGAGACTGTGCTAAGGAAAACCAAAACCAAATATTCATGAATGATAGCAGATACAGATTTTGTGCACTAAAATATGGATCTGTATTACTTCCACAATATAAATTCAAAAAGGAGGGGGGGAAAGGGAATCTTGGTAGTGGAACCATTGGGCTTGAGCTCTACTAAAGCAGTGCAGGACGCAGGGTGTCCTGTGCCTTTGCTATAACAACTCCAGAATTCTCTCCTGCTCTCAACATTGCTACTGCACCACAGAGCAAAGAGAATCTGCATGTGAAAGGGTTCACTGATGCATGAATCTCTAGGGAAACATGCTGAGCAGTGATCCTAAGCTATGGACTTCTGTTGCCTTATGCCTATTACACCTCTTGCAACCCTCGTGACTGCAGTGGGAAATTGTGCTTACTTGTGAATTACTGTAATATTGAAACAAGAGCTTCAGTCAGGGACCAAACAGCATTTATTCAAGATGTTATGGTACCATCAGTGTACGTGGTTGCTCTCTCAGATCAAAACCAGTTTTCCGAAACAGATTTCCACTAAACATAGCACACCTATTTTACTGAACTACAATAAGGAACTTGGCCTTCCCCCAGTGTTTAAAGACTAGTGTCACAAGGTCCAAGAAAGTACAAAGGTACATTTGTATATGCTTCTTATCATTTTAAATATAGCACTTAACCATCCTCTCTGTATTTTAAAAATATTCTGCAGTTTGCCTACTGGGAGTTGTCTATAGATCTTGCCTTATTTTGATGTTAAAGTCAAACTGAATTTGCTTCCAACAGGTCTATACCTCGGTTTTCCCCTATATCAAAGAAGTGCACAACTCAAGGTGTTAGTTGAACCATTCTACCTTTTCCTGTACAAGTCAACACTGACATTATTGATGCCTATTACTGCTGTACTTACTGTTTTGGAGCTTGTAATGAACTTGTATGTTCCTCATTTCAGATTCAAGTTTTGAAAGTACTTGTGAACTTATCTGCAAACCCAGCCATAACAAGACATCTTCTCAGAGCTCAAGTAAGGTTCTTGCTGCTTCATTTTATTTTTAGAATATATACACGTGCACCTGTTTAGATATGTGCATGCACTAGAAGAATTTTAATGTATTAGAAATATATATGCAATTCCAGAGTAAAACTCTAGGCAGTACTTGGTTAAAAGCAGTAGTTAGAAGTGCACATTCTTTCCCAGGCTGCCTTTCTTCCAGAGGGTAATGCAATACAGATGCAGTACTTGCAGAGAGACAGGCACAGGGCCCTACAGCCTTGGAGACAGTGGGTTGGACTTCTGGTGTACCATTCCTGATAATCAATGATAACATGCAGAAGCCTTTCCACTAAAGGGGTAGTACCAAGAACTTCAGTTTGTAATATGTATAAGGAACCCAAAACCTCATTTCCAGGCACACAGTCAGTATATAGATTGAAGACCAGGAGCAGACATCAAATAGAACCAGTAGTGTAAATGATCCTTCTCAATAGGTGTTTCTACAGCCAATATACTGTACCAAAACCAACCAAATTCCACTGAAATCCCCACCCCTTTACTCAAATGCAGTCATAAAGTTATTGTCTCTAAGTGAAATTTCCCTGGGCATCTACTTACATCTTCATGGAGAACTTTGGGACATTTGCTGTGCTGGCCTTGGCACACAGGTTTGTTTCAGTTTCATTCCCTCACACAAAAACAAAGAGTCAGAGTTGGAATGGTGCTGCATCCTCTTCCCCAAAGTAACTTTCTTAAAACATGTAGTGGCCTTTATTTGTGAGCTATCTGCCATCAACAGAGCTAGTCTAGATAGTACTGTCTTTTCATTATCCAAACAAGATCTATTCAGTTCTGTTAAAAGTGCATCCTCTTCTCATTTATCAGAAGTGCTAACATAAAAATATTCAGATCAGTGCAGAGAGCAAAATCAACATTACTGAGAAGGAAAGCAGACCCTCTCTTCCAAATGGGAATTTTCCAGCCAGCCACATTTTGGAGATTGAAAATACAAAGTATTTATTAGGATGTTGATGCACAAGCCAGTCTTTTCTAAAGAGGAAGTATGTGCATACTGTGCAAGTTTCTGATGTGCTTTCACAACATGCAAAGTTCTGAGATTTCATACAGTTTCTGTTTTAGGTGCAAATTTTTTTTACATTTTCTAAAGTTAGATTTGGTTACATGTACTTACTGCTGGTGATTAAGTATGGAATATTTCTTGAATGTCCTAGGTGCCATCATTGCTATTACTTTTTGACAACTCTATAAACAGAGATATTCTGCTCAGAGCCCTGGCGTTTGCAGCAAACTTGAAAAAGAACATGAACAATGAAGATGGCACCATAACTGAGGACCAATACAGTGAAGACTCAATTTTCTTTACACTCTGCAGGGACTCTGCCCCATTTGCTCAGAAACTGGCATTTTTGCTGCATCACCCCGATACAGAAGTGAAAGAACAAGTTGTGAGAATATTAACACAATAGTGTTGTTTTCTTAAAACAGACTGACCTGATGAAAATATTTAATCTTGGGAATGCTATGCTAAAAAAACCTGCAACAAGCAAACAATAAAACAACAATGACAAATAAACCCTGAATACTACCATATTACTAGGCACAAATCAGTTAGTGCAAAAGAGTATTTAATATAGAGAGCATAACAGATTTTTTTTTTACAAGCAAGAGAAAAGCAATAGCTTAATTAACTACAGTGCAGTTAACCACAACTGTGCAAAGTTTCTACACTTGAACAAAAATTGGAAGGATTTTATTTTGCTTTAAAATCGTCACTTTAAGGAAAGCAGGCATATTTTTAAAAATATTTTATTAAGAGTCAAACATTATCTGCAACTGCAATTTAGTATTCTCATCTTTATAAAAAAGTCTATGAGAGCAGTATCATACACATTTTTACAAAAGCTTCCTATTCTGTAGCAGCCCTTGAGCCTGCTTTCCTTGGAGAACTTTACTCCTTTTTTTCTGCAACTGGAACATCATTGGAATAAGTGCTTCTGCTGAATTAGCCTCCATAAAGTTTAAGTCATCAATTGAGCATTAATTCAAAATGAAGTGGAATACATACAAACATCACTTGAATGGAGTTTCATTGATGAACAGAAAACATACTGGAAAAGACTTCTCAAACCAGACTGCTAAAAAACTTCCTAACACTTGTATTATAGAGAAAGTAAAAAAAGCATCGGTTTTCCACTTTGTACCATTTTTAAGAGAACTGTATCACCTAAACTGTTACCAGGTGCTTCATCTTTCTAACTTAATATACCCACTCTGCTCTTAATAAAACATTCCTATCTTCTCTTTCTGTAATGCAATAGATGTTATTTTCAGAAGGTGACTTTGCTAAAACTGCAAGAAAAAGATGACCTTGAAACTGCAACATATGTATGCCCTGATCAATACAGGGGTAAAGCTACATGTATCTAATTTAACCACATAGGTAGTTTTAACTCACCAGGAATACAGTCAAGGCAGAAATAGAAGTTGGCATGATTCCCAGTCAGAACTTTGACAATTGCTGCATTGACAGTGAACTTCCCTTTCTCCTTCCCACTGCTCCTAAAACACTGTACAGTTTTTAATAAGCAAGTTACATTACAATCACTTAATGTTTTGCCACTTTTTGTAGACTTAATGTGTTCTGCTGCTGAATTTAACAAAGAAAAATAAAAGCTAGGCCAGACACTAAGAATTTACCAATCCCACTCTCCTCTCCTGATGAGACCTTAAGACTAGACTGTTCTAGGTATAGCTGATATATATGTTTACTTTAGCTGAGCAACAGAGATATCTAGATGTCCCTTTTCATGTTCTCCAACCTAAAAAGAAGTTTTTTAAATATCTTTTTGGTAGAGTTGACCTTTTATCCTTTGCTTTGACAGCTGACAGAAACAAGTGACATTTTCTAAAAATACACGAAAAGTTGTTACAGTGTTTTCTCAGTTGTCTTTTTCTGGTCTAGAAAGACCTATTTTTAAACGCTTTCTTCATAGAACAGTGCTGTTGAGATGTTCTAAAATCATGCAAGACTCTCCAAAGTGCCTTCATGAAGGATGTCTAATTTTTTTATTCCCTACCCCACACCCTGGATGGAATCTTATCAACACCAAGCAAAACATAACAGTCACCATTCTACCTAAAAATGTTGTGAATTAATAGATTCAAAACAAAATATGTCTCTGATCCATGTAAGTCAGTATTTCTCTATGTGGCTGCTTATCTGGGTATTTTATATTTTAGTTTCACTCTTTCTAAAGTACGTAATTTTCCAGAATAATCTATTGATGATTTTGCAAACAGGAAAAAAACCCAACCTACAACAAAACCAGCCTTAATTTTAACCTTGTCCTCCAAAGAACTCGAAAATTCCTGCAGCTCGGTGTCCTCCACAAAATTATGAACATGTAATATGCATTATATGACTCAAATTGTAATTGAAGCTGTTGTGTAAATAAAAGGCTCAATAGAGACTTCATCTGAAATACCCTTCCAGAATCAACACTGAACAACAGAGTAGCTTTAAACCCCTTTTTGAACAAATTCTGGTGAATACATCTACATGACACTAGAATTACCTTTTTAAATAAAGAAATCTTCATGTTTGTCAAAGATGAACCCCACCAAAGCAAATAAGCTGCTTTTTCCTACATATAAGTGTAATCTCTATTCCAGAACCCTTCCTCAGCATGAACTAACTCATCTTTGCCTCCTTTTGCTGTTCTTTGTTGATATGAAGATCTATAAGACTTAAAATATTTATATTGGGAAGTCCTAAAAGAGATAACTGTCTACAGTTAAAAGATTACTTCAGGTTGTTCATAGCATGAAATCTCATTAGCTGATTTTAATTAGTTGCCAGAAGTTCATGTCTTCAAATAATGTGTCTTCTTTAAAAATTGGTTTTATCTTCATGGAATATGAAAATAAAATGTAATGCACAGCAAGAGATAAAAAAAAACCACCCAACCAATAAACATATCCCATAGACCAAAACAAATCATAAACAAAAACCAATTTGCCAATGAATTATGAAGGAGAATAACAACCCTTTTTATTGGCAACAATAGGCTTTAATTCTGTAAATTAGCACGGCAATTTGATACAGACACATTTAGCCAAGTTTTATAATATTGAACAATGTTGTAATCTCTCATTCAACTTTAAAATTATAGGGAAGCTATAAGAAAAAATACCACAGCCCTTGCTTCAGACTTTCCACTTAAAAAGAAAAAAAAAACAATTTAGAAAAAGGCTGAGTCAATGCAAAGACAAGCGCCATTAAGGGATTGTTCCGTTTCATGCGCTTCATTTGACACGTTCGACCTAACTTAAAACATCGACCAAACAATGAAAGTGTGCAGATAACTCTGGCCAGCAGTTAGTCTTACACATCCATGGTGCAATATTAAATTATCTCTCTCTTTAAAAGGCACATTTCTTTGATCACTGTAAAATTCAGTTTTTGTGGTTCATCGATATATGAAAATGAAGAAGCACTCAGTAAAACAGTTGTACTGTGCTTGTGCTTTAACAACACAGCTGTAATGGAAGACTCCACCCCACAAAACATACAGTGAAGCTATCAAGGTACAGGGCAGAACCTGAAGACTAACAAGTGGGAGATGACAGTCTAACAATGATTAATTCAAGTCAGCCATTAATCCTAAGAATATGTCCTGTGCTGAGGTTATTATTGCTGTTGCAGGTAAAATGAAGAGTGTAAAAATTTTTATCAGTGGTATACATCAGAGTTGAAACTGCAAGTTAATCCCAGACCACACCTTTTATATTAACCAGTTTCAGATGATCTCTCAAAATTTATAAATTACATAACTAATAAATTTGTCATGAAATTGGTATGCAAGCTTTAGTGCTGAGACTGAAAAACTTACCATGAAATTGGTATGCAAGTTTTAGTTCTAAAACCTGGCACCTAGAAATCCAATTCAATCTAAAAAATGCACTGTGTAAATACATCATATTAGTATTTGTACTGTTAATTGGTAGTTCAGATCAAACTGGGCTTACAAGGAACTGCTCTACGGTTTCAGTTTTCAAACGTGTCATTTGTACCCAGGTCCCGTGATTCTCCATGGTTTAAGAGGAAGAAGTCATCTTTTTTCAAGCCGTATCTTTCAAGAGCTTCATTCAGTTTAACCGGAGGATCTAAGTAATACTGGAAAAAATGAGAATAATATGAGGGAAAAGATACCACTGCAACATTTTGGGGGTAGAAATCCCTGCTTTAAAAATGGGGGGGAGAAGGAGGATGAGGATATTTGTCAAAACGTTTGGGTTCATTTTAAGTTTTTAAATGCTAAGAACGCTGATTTATAGCTGCAGAGTAACTAGCAAGGCACAGCCTGTCCTCCACAGTTCGGTCGCCTTCAGTGTACTAACAGATCCCTTGGAGGAAGCGCTGTCCGGCCAGCAGCTGGCGCTTTCTCTCGCTCCGTAAACCCAAGGGGTCAGCGGTCCTGTCTGAACTCTTGCGTGCTGCCACTGCGGCCCCCTCAAGTTACCGCGTTGTATTTGCTGCATTTCAGAAAAGGCACCATCAGGGAGAAATCACCTACTTTTTGCGCTTCTAAAGACACAGTAACATTTGTACCGTGGGCACTAGTGACACGGTTTATTGGAAATGCTGTGGACAGGAAAGGTTCTGTCCAAGCGTCCTCGCTAGGTTCCCTGCCTGGCAACTTTTTGCTCTGCCAGGGAGGAGGTGCACAAGGAGCTGGAAGGGACAGAACATATGACATATCAGGTGATCGCAGTATCAGGAAGGAATCAGAAGATAAAGAGGTGTAACTGATACAAGGACAAAGTTGAAAAACGGCTACCAGACAGTATCAAAGCAGAAGTAGATACTTCCCACTCACTGCATTTTTAGTTGCTGTGAAAGTACCTGGGTAACCTTCTTATTAGAACTGTGGACTTAAAGAGGGGAAGGAGGGAATAATAAAAAAAAAAAAAATTAAAAAAAAAAATCAGTAACTCAGTAATTCAATTTTTCATATTCTTGCTGATATTTAACTCTGAATCAACTATTAAAAATACTATTCAATTTATTTACTAGACAGGTATGATTATAAATACCATACTGACCCACAGGCATGAAGTTCTTACTATCTCCAAGTGATGCACTGCTGAGTCTGCTTTTATTACTGTATATGTGTCCCTGCCTATTATGTTCCTCAGCTTTTGGATATCAGAAATCCTCCACATTTGTTTCAATAACTCTGTACTTTCTTAACAGTGGAAGTATTTTATGTAATTAGTTATGAAAAGCTAAGCATTGTTTTGAACAACAGTATATGGAGTAACAACTTGTCACTCTTACAAAGGTCACAACTGAAGTTTACGTTTACAGATATGTAGGTTTAATTGCACAAGCAAAGCTTCACTAATCACCATGTAGTACTTGAAAATCTGAACTCACGTAATAGTGTTGCAATTTACCTCATTTGCTAAAGCAAAGGTCCCCCAATGAATTGCTACTGACTTCTTTGCTTGAACATCAATATGGATTCTTACTGCTTCTTCAGGATCCACATGCTGGTATTTCATAAACCACCTACCAAAACAGAAAGTAACATTTTTTTGTGTCACCTAATCAAGTGCAAGATTTCTTCTTTACTGTCACTGGGTAAGTTGCAAAGAGAAAAAAAAATATATATATAGTCACCTAATCAAAAAAATCATGAGCATGTAGACCTCAACAACATACAGAACACTCAGAAGCAAGAAACTAACATATACCAACATGCCCATGAAACAGCTGTTCATGTATTGCACTCTTTTCAAAGGGTTTTTTCTTACCTGTGTTTCCAATAGTATAAGGACATATTACTGGTGCCTTGAGGCATTAAGGCCAAAAATTTAAATCCATCCCTGAAAAAATTTCATGCTAGCAGCGCACACCAAGGAGTGTGTGCTTCAGAAATAGCTCAAGGGAATGGTGGTAAGGGAGAAGGGAGAACCTGGCACTTCTTGAAAGATACCAGATTTTTACCTTTCTATTCAGTCTTATCTTCCTTTCCCAGCCCATACACATTTCCCTTCCAGCATTATAAGAGCACTATCATCTAGAAGTTTAGATAACCCGTCATAAGTAGGATAGAGATGCCTAAACAAACAGATCTTTCACACATTATAAGTGAGTCATCTCTATCTCCAGATAAGTTGCAAAACCAGCATAAAGCCTGAAGCAAGAGAAAAATGCAGCAAATGGCATGCATCTGAACGGGCTGGATTAAACTGTGCTGTTTTGGGAGAAAAAAAAAAAATCACAGAGCAATTCCAGATTTTTACTCAA